GAATATACTAAGGGCTTTAGTGTGTTGTAATTGTTGATTAAATGAGGTTTGGACATTTCCTTATGAATCTATCTTATCACATTTGTTCAAGTCATATTTTTTCACATCATGAAACATTTTGCAAATTAATTTATTAAAATCTATATATACTGCTACATACAATGTAGCTCTCAAAATTCTCAGGGTGAAAGGTGATAGAGGATAAAAGACAAGAGTCAGAAAACAGAAAGCTGAGGTCAGGTTGAGCTGTCTCTCCCAATAAGAAAAAAGAAACTTCTTAATGACCACAGTGTGTTTATTTATACGTTCAGCAGGTGGACCTCACATGATACCCTTCTGCCTAGCAACCTGTTTGCGTGGCTTGCTGCAGGTGCCTGGTGTTCTCTGGAGTGGAGCAGCTTGTTCCTGTGACTTGCCTCAGGCACTCTGTGGTCTCCAGATCAGCCTTGTTCCAGCCTTGCATGTGTGATGGATATCCAGCTTCTCTTCACATTTTCCCCTTTTCTGCTTTGTAACTGTAAGCAGTTGTGGTCTATTGAAGTTTGAGGAGAGCTGTATATGGAGGACTCTATAGAAGACCATCTCACTCTCAAACCCTTTGTATTCTGAGTGAACTTAGTAATTTAGGTTAGAGATTCCCAGTCCAAGAATTTCAGGTCCCTGCATTTAGCAGGTTATCCCTGTACAGCCCATCAATCCATAACAGTACTGGTGTAGCTAGAAATTGTCAGAAAATGTTAGTGATTTGAGTTTCATTTATGACTAGCATATTACTATGGTATTGTTTAATAAATTTTGGTTATATTTCTGCTGGATGTTCATGACCAAGTTAAGGTGAGACATTAATTAAAATTAAATTTGTGCTGTCTATCGAGGTCAGTTAAGTTTCCTTAGGATTTACCTTGAAACCATGCATAGTATCTCTGAGTTCTGCTTCAGTGTCAGCCATCTGGGTGAGTCACAGACATTGTTTGACTAAGTTGCTTTGGGTAAAAGCTTGGGAGACTTTTTTCTCCAAATGACACTCCTTAGGTGCATTATACATCACTGATCACTTTTATACATGGTATAGCAATCTCTTTGGTCAGAAGGCTGAGAACTCACTGAATTATAGGTTGTCACAATAGAAGTTCTCTTATGTCCTAGGCCCTCATTGACCTCGGAAGGCCAGGGCCAAAATATTGGCTGTCCTCCTAACCCATTTATCTCTCTTAAGTTTTGGTCTCCAAACATCAGTTGTTCAGCATCCAGAAGAGATGATTAATTACATTACATTGGGTATAATGAGCTTAATAGTATACAAAATAGAACCATTACATCTATCAGCTATGGACGTTATAGTATTTGAATATCTGTAAAATATTAACAGAAAACAGTTATCTATTTTATACAGAATATTAGAAATCAAGGGCCATAAATGATATTGTGGCATGACAATCATGTCAACATTTTTTAACATACCCAAATTTCCATTTTGACATACAGTAGCACTATTAGTCAGGTATCCCTGTCTAGCGTATGAGAAGTTTTCACCTAACTTGTTGATCTTTAATGGAAATCTCATTGAAGAAATTTGGGACACTGTCTGAAATGTATAGTACCTAAGCATCTCTGAGTGTAATAACACATGTATAAGAGAAACATCTTAGAAGATTCCCCCATTTTTAAATTAATTTTTTATAGATGATCTCACATTGTCTTGGCATGAAGCTCCTGTCACAGGTATCTGTAGCACAAAAAAGGCAAATGTCTGAACCTGAAAGAAAAGTCTGTCACCATAAACAAGTCCTGTTTTACATTTTGGGAGACCCGTACCTCTGGAGCCAGAATACATGTAAAAACACATGAAATTAATAACAATCAATTGTCATAGCCATATGAAAACCTTTTATCAGAGCATCTTTAAATCCAAAACCTTATTTTCTAGAAAACTTGATCTTTTGAAGATGACCAATGTAAATGTTTCATGATAATACATTTTAACAGTATTTGTTGCGGTGTCTCCCATAAAGCAATGGAAATCATTGAGGCTTCCTATTAATGAAAAAGAATCAGACAAATGTCTCCTGGCAGCTGCTTTCTTATTCATAAAAGGGAGCCTTTACAGACAATTACCCAAGCTCAAAGATTCCCATTTAATTAACAAATTGCTGATGACCTCTAAGAAAAACGAATTTTGATAATATCGACCAGTCATCAGCCCAGGTGGAAGCATGGTTCTTAAATCTATAACCCAAATTATATTTTGAACCAGTGATACAAAAATGCAAGAGTAAAAAGGAAAATAGAAAAAAAATGTTGAGCTCAAATAAAAAAGCTATTCACAGTATGACAAAGAAATTAAAACAGACAATTTGCCTACACTATCAAAGAGCACTCAAATGTATTTTGCATCCATTGTCCAGTATGAAAATCTTTCCAAAGGAACCTTCCTAGCTTATTTACCTTTATCTGATTGAATTGTCTTTCTGCTGCTCTAGTTCCATCCCTAGTAGGATTTAAAAAGTTAATAGTACACACTATCAAGTGAAATCTATTATGAGGTGTGAATTTTGTAGGGAAGAATTCCTATTTCTGTTTTTGTAGTTGAATTTTAGCATAAATGCTGAGCACGTTTAACAATTTTGAGATCTTGAGGGTTATAAGGAATTCCTGTGGTAGGGAAAATATAAAAAGGTTTACAAAATGTTTGGAAGGCATCACTTGAATAGGATGGACCATTGTCAGTCTTAAGTGCCTATAGGCAGCTAAGGATACTGAAAGCACCCAAGCAATGAGCAACGACATGTCTAGCTGCCTCCCCAGTGGAGGCAGAGGCAAAAATAAATCCGGAGGCAGTATCCAGTGAAAAACGGACCCAGTATAGAAGGCCAGACTCAGAAATGTGATGACATCCATTTACTAGAGATAATTGGGGTGTAACCCTCAGGATTAACCGCCTAGGGAGTGAAGAAAGATGTATTATGCCTGAGAAACATTGTTTAACAATTTGTCAAGCCTGTTCCTGGGTTAAAAGGAACTATTTGCACAAGGCAGAAGTGTTTTGATGTTAGGTGGCATGGGAGGCAGAAGCCTGCTGAGGGATCAACAGTGACAGTAGCCACAATCTGTCTACTGTGGCATTTTCCTCAGTGAAAGCCCTGCACTTGGGAATAAGCATAAATGACCAATGAAACAGAGGATGTGGCATGACCAAACTGTATGTTGGAGAATATGAAATAAATGAAAAGACTCTTGGCCAGAAAACAGGTTAATGGGTGTGGATGAATGATCTTTCAAGACCCATGTAACAACTGAGAATCATTCTTTTGTGTAGAAGAAAAACTTGTATCCTGTATTTGGCCACCCGGGGTTGTTGCTCCCGACTCTGGCTTCAGCTCACCTCATAGGGCGGGGCTGCGGAGGAGCTGCTCGCCCAATGAACAGCTCACTGTCTGGAATTACAGCTTCCACTTGGATGATGGTTCCAGGGAAGGTGTCAGTGCCTTCTTTGCTGCTGGGATGGGCTCCATCTCTGTCTTGGCTTTGCCAGTGCCACCCTCCCCACAAAATGCTGCAGTAGCCACTTCTGCAGCCATGAATGCCATTTTTTTCTGGCTTTTCTCTACTCCAATTTGGGCTATTGCAGCTCTGGTGGCCCCAAGTAGATTGTGGAGTTGAAGGGGCCGTGGATTGGCAGGCATGGAGGCAGCTGAGGCAATCAAAAAATATTTTCTCCCACAGTAAACAATTTCCTGGACCTAAACGTGCTTCAGATTTTCCTTTCAATCATTTATGGCCATAACTTGTTGTCCTGTGAACTCCATAAAACCCAAGGTACAAGGGCCTGTGGGGCGGTAAGTAGATGTCACTTGTTTTAGTCCTTTTAAGGTATTAAAGTGTACGGCTTCGCTTTATGCAGTAACTCAAAGGTTGTAGTGATCATAGTGCTGGAAAAAGAGGACAATTTTTCTTTTTACCTGTTAAATTACTGCCTTTGATGAAATTGCCACATCTTGAGGAAGAATGTGCTTTAAGAGATATGTTTGGTAAATATCCATATATAGAAACTAATTGAAACTTTCTGTGCATTTGTCAGAAAGATGAATACAACAGAGTAAAGCAGAACTTATAAAGATATCTGAATTAAAATGTAAGTTAAATTTGACCTGTATTTCCAGGCGTGATGGCTCAGGCCTGTAATCTCAGCACTCAGGAGGCTGGCAGGAGGATACTTGCAAGTTTGAGATCAGCCTGGGCTACAAAGTGAGCTCAAGGCCAGCCTGAGCTGCATAGAGAGACCCTGTCTCAAACACACACACACACACACCACACACACACACACACACACACACACACACACTGACCCATATTGCTGGATTTGTAGTTCAGGGCAAGAGGCCCTAATTTTGTTTCTTGTCACTTAAAAAAGAAAAAGTACATACTACAATTGAGTCAAAAGATATGCTGAAAAATATAAAAAGATCACAGAAGCATATGATCTTGAAGCAAAGAATACTACATTTGGAGAAGAAAATACCAATCAATGATTCTATGCAACTTACGTGAAATAATTGAATTTTTATTACAGAAAGTTCTCTAACAACCTTAGAACTCTTTTATTAAAATAGAAAAGTTAGGGGCTGGAGGTTTAGCTCAGCGGCATAAGCGCCTGCCTTGGAAGCAGACAGTCGTGAGTTCGATCCCCGGTACCGATAAAAAGGAAAAAGACAAAAAAAAAAAAAAAAAAAATAGAAAAGTTAGAGGGGAAGATTTCTTAAAATAAAAAACTTTGAGGTAATGACTACATGGAGTAGAATGGGTAATTTATAAATTATAAGTGAAGTGTAAAGCCAAGTGAGGCAAAACTCATGACAACTTAGATTTCTACAAAATTTTGAAACATGTTCTTTGAAAGTACTTGTTCAATTTGCTAGTCTCAATATTTTGTATCCTTTTTTAAGCTTTTTAGAAATATTCCCAGTTTCTTTATCAAACTGAAGAAAATTAATTTCTTACAGGTGCAAAACTGGCAGTGATGGCTTCCCCAGAACTGAAGGGTCTTGTCCCCTTCAGCAGAAAGTCACTGGAACTTATAAAGCAGCACATTGCTAAGAAGCACAGTGAGGAAAATGAAGAGGATGACTTAAAACCAAATCCTGACCTGAACGTTGGCAAAAAGCTCCCCCTCCTTTATGGAAACCTTTCTGGAGAGATGGTGTCGGAGCCCTTAGAAGATGTGGACCCATACTACTACAACAAAAAAGTGAGCAATTAATTGAAATCCCTGTTAGTACATTTTTATGTTATTTTTCAAATGTGAAAAAATACAATTTAGATAGGAAAATATGGAATGAACAGCATGCAAAGAAATAATTTTAAATTACACAAACTGCACAAAGTGTTTTATGTTGGGTATACATATTTAAGATTTTTATAAAAGCTCTTGTAACATATCCAATTATGTGGTTTTTGTTATTTCTTAAAATGTGCACTGACATATTTTAATATAAATGATTTGTTTTATGAGAACATGGTGATTGACTATTTGTGGTTGGCAGTCTTGAAGTAACTTTAAAATTTCTGGAATATACAAAATTTAAAACAGTTAACTTGATGAGTTTAGTCAAAATTTAGGACACTATTCAACCTATATTCACCCTTTGTACTCATATACTCATATATTTACCCCATATCTCAAGGAAGATGTGAGGCACATACTAATACATTTATAATCCTAAAGATTATACGATTACACAATTACAGAATGCGAAATATGAAAAACAATTCTGTTTAGAAGACAGAGACTGTGTAGACTAAGGCTGGAAGAGTCTTCATTAAGAAAGAAAAACCTGAATAACTGCTTGAAGAATACTTCAAATTTTAATAATGCAAAAGGAAGACCTTTCATGAAGAGGCAAGGATAGAGATTGATTCTGGAACAAGAAAAGAATGAGGGATGCTGTAACTGGAAACTCAGCTGTGCTGTAACTTGTGGGAAATAGGATGAGGTCATGGAGATGTCAACGTGAATCTAACACAGTAGACAAAGGGTGGGGTGATGATGACCCTGTTTAAGTAAAGTGAATCTGGAAACTGTCTAAACTGACGTTACAGCTTGAACCATGTTCCTTAATGGTGCTGCTGAAAACAGCCCTTATGACAATAAGCCAACCTTGAAGCTTTTGCCCCAGGCACACCAACCAGGACTAACTTGGGAACTATATTCATTTTTTTAATATCCTTGGCCTTGTTTTCAGTATAATGTTAGTAAAATAAAACAAAAAACTGTAGATAAGCAGTTAAGCCTAATTGTGAATAAAGATAATAAATGCATTTCCTTTTGGTTTAGGTTGTAAAAGAATATTCAAAAGAAGAAAAGTATAACTGTTCTAATCTTTAGGAGTGTATTGCATAATTGATACTATTGTAGTTCTACATTCCATTTTCACTTGATGTTTTTCTCCTTATAGACTTTCATGGTATTGAATAAAAACAGAACCATCTTCAGATTCAATGCTGCTTCCATCTTTTGCACTTTATCTCCTTTCAGTACTATCAGAGGAACAACCATCAAAGTATTGATACATCCATATCCTTTTCTTTTGGCTTGTTGAGTGTGTTTAAAGGACTTTAATGCCAAATAAATTATTCTGTTAGTAACTAGGCCTGCAAATGGTTTGTAATTCTGATTGATTTCTCACATTACATTGAAACCTGGATTGTACTGCATATATTACTTCATACATAAAATTATATAGTATGTTTTCTAATACGCACAGTGGTAGTGGAAATTAACATATATTAATTCACATCTCCATTGGTTTTTAACAAGAAATACATGTGTACATATATATAATATATAACATTGAACACTTACGAATGTATTTTATCTCATGTGCATATAAACACAGATTATAGAATATATATTTTCAAATGTTATTGGTTACTCTTTATTCCTTGACTGTAACCTACTCTTTTCCAACTGTTAATCTTAATCAGTGTCCTCACTGACTGCATACTCATGACCATGATAAATGGGCCAGAATGGGAACCAGCAGTAGAGTAAGTCATATGATTTTTTTCACACTATCCCATATAAGAAATTCTTTTTCTGACATTTCATCTATTTTAATATTATATTTAATACATTGCATTATATAACAGTACACAATTCAATATTTATACTTAATACATAGTAGCATAATTTTAATATATAAAGTGGTATTTATATATGTATAATAATGAATGAAATTTGTAAATTAAAACATACATTTCTTCAATTGTAGGATATTTCTGCTCTTTCATTATTATTAATTAAATTTTAATTACCTCTCTGTCTTAATAAATTGGATTAATATTTGATTCTTTAGCTATAAATTTATTTCTTTGTATCATACAGATAGAATTTTATTGCAAATGCAATTATTAATGATTAACATGCTATTTCAGTGTCTCAGGTCTTTACTATTGCAACACCACACATGATTTTTTTCCAGCTCGAAAAACCTTCCATCTATTAAGCAATTGTTAATATTCTATTTTACTTCCCTTCCTTAAGAGATACAAGTAGTCTTACTTGCATAAGACTACAATGTAAAAGGCTCATTAAATTTTCTAAGTAAGAAAGTTTACTTAAGTTTACTTTCTGAACTTTAACCTTAAAAATTATTGACTTTAGAAGGTTTATTTAATATTGATTCACCAAAAAAATTCCTTCATAAATGATCATAAATTAAGCATTGCATACCCCATTAGTTATTATTAATTATTGTGCAATTCCATGTGTAGTAAATTTAATATTCTCTTAATTATCCTAAGTAATATGAAAAGCCCAGCATCTTGGTAAAAGAAGAATTGTTGAAGAAAGTTGGCTGTCAGATTTCATAGCTGGTGCCACAGATGCAAACATCCTAGAGAGTGTCTAAAGCATAGGCTCGGGGCACGTGTTTTGATTGTTTTTCTGACTGGTTGTTTTGGGTCTGCCAAGCAGAAAAGTGTTGATCTGTTCATGACTTATTTTCAAATACCATAGAGTTATTATTAGCACAGTATTCCTTAATGGACAATGTACTATTCTTACTTTTACTATTGATACAAAAATTTTTCTGCAGACATACTTTGCTTGGAATTTATACATTTGAAATACTTGTAAAAGTCATTGCAAGAGGTATTGGGGCAGGACCTTTTTCTTTCCTTGGAGATCCATGGAACTGGCTTGATTTCAGTGTGACTTTATTTGAGTAAGTATTTCTTCAAGTGGCAAACTTCTTAATGCTTTGTGAAAATAATGCTTCCAGTTTAAAAACTGAGGTTTGCAAAGATTTCTACTTGCAAAACTTTTGCAAGTGAGGAATCTTTCATAAGTTACAGTGAATCTCTCAGGCAGCAATATCTGTATTGATCTTTAGTGTATCTAATGAAAATGAAAGGAATAGGAGATTTTCTACTTTTCTATCCTGAGCAAGAGTATTAGCCCTTGAATTTATGCATTTTATGTGGGTTTTTTAGCAATTAGATAGCTCCTCACAGACATAAAACTATGCCCTAAGGTGTTTAATCCTCAGTCTCTCAGTCAATGTACGTTTAGCCACATTGCTTGAGACTAGTAAATATACTATGAGAATAGGGTATCTTTAAAATTAGTGTTTTGTATGTGTTTGTATATCTTTATTAGTTATGTCTGCAGTACATAATTTTACCTTCCTTGTATGAAGTTACTGCAGGTACACAATGCATCCTATTCCAATTTTTACCTTCTCATTGCTTGATCGCCCTGGAATTTGAGAAAGGTGTCTCTCCCTATTTCCTATTATCTGTCTTTTATTTCATTCTTTATTTATAATTTGAGTTTATTTTAAACACATACAAATTTTCTGTAGTGCTATGTACATTCTCATTATCTTATGTCCTTTTTAAAATACTTCTATTTTATTATATTTTGCTTTATAGATATGGAAATGCCCATAGGCATCCGATTCTGATGAAAAATAATTTTAAATGACATTCTATTTGTAGTTTTCTGGTGGTCATTTTTTCTGAAAAAAAATAACCTTTTTAAACAATAAAAGCTGCTTAAGTATTGTCAATAGTAAAAAATAATAGCAAATATCATTATAATTGTTATTCCTAGCTGTACTATTACTATAGTTGTGTCTCTTATTTCCTTTATTGTCAGGTAATATATAGCTAACTTAGCTAACATTGCTGCCCGTGTGTTAAGTGATCTTTTATATGCTTAGACACATTTTCTCATTTAATATCTGCAGCAAACCTCTGAATCAAGAAATACTTTCCTTAGTTTTCATTTAAAGGTACTCTGGGAGAAAGATCAGCTGATTTTCCCCTGTCACACAGCTACAAAATTTGGAAGCTGCCTTCCTATGCAGGCGGTCTGGCCCCAGAGCCTGTGCCTTAAACTGAAATGTACCCTTCATTCTATTGTCAGTTACCACTCACCATCATTGTGACCAGTAAGGCCCTCCGATTATCACTCTCATCGTCATTATTCTCATAATGACCACTATTAACAGTTGTAAATGCTTCAAGTGAACCCCACCCATTCAAAAACCTTATTTTCCTATTTTATCCGTATTTTCAGTAATAGGATAACACAGTACAAATGAAAATAATGTAGAATATTTCATATGTTAAGAGTATTCAGTGTGACACTGTTATAAACTCTCATAATTAAAGTTTGTTAATACTTACCTCTCTACCCTGTTTCATGGCAATTTTTGTCTTCTAAATGATAATAAAATGATTTGAAAAGTGGGAATAAGTAAAATGCCTCAATATATAATTTTAAAATAAGTTTTAAAATAAAGCTGAACATAAATAGCAAATGACTTCTGAATAACTCAGAGTGACTTCTGAGTAATTCTAATTTTATTTTACAGAATTGTAACAAGGTTCTCATCTCTAAACTTAACTCACATGCTTGAAAGTGTAAGAACTTTGAGAATTCTGAAAATTATTCCTTTAAACCAAGGTAAGAAACATCACTGGATTATTTTTTCATTGTGTTATACATTCTTCCACATAGTCATTTGACCTTCTTTGCTCTTCAGAGAAAATGTTAAAATGACAATATTTTCTACTGGAAGCTAATGAGTCATCTGACTTTAAACCAATTTGTTTCTCCAGAAAAGGCAGGAAAAATACATTTTATTATTATTTATTTACATTATACAGGCTCAATACTTACAACACCAAAATATAGATTCATCACATACTTTTATTGTTTATGTTTTGCATTTTATAAACCCAAGTATTTCTCCTGGTTATTCTTTTTTAAATTATTTATTTATTTATTTATTTATTTGCTGCGATCTCATGTTTGCCAAGCAGGTACTTACACCACTGAGCTAAACCCCCAGCCCCTATGTTTTGCATTTTTATAAATGAATTTATAAATCTCTTCTTAGACTTCTGAGGATAGTTCAGGCAGAGGTCTAGTACACCTCCTCCTGTTATTCACTGGATCAAGAAACCAACTGAAAGGAATCAAATAATATAAAATAGGACAAATTTCTCTTTGATTTGAGTGCTTGCACAAGATGCAGTCCACAAACCATAAAGTTCTGGGAGTTTCTCCTAAAAATACAAACAATTGCATTCACAGTTTTGACAGATGCTGAGGCCTAGATTACAGCTTCCATTTATGACCATAACCTGGCAGAAACCCACCAACAAACACCTAATCTGTTCTGAACTAGTATAATCTTATAGGAACAATGCTCATAGCTTTTTGGCTGCTGTAAATCAGAAGTATTGTGAAATTATTCTGTCAGAAACCCAAGAGCAAATGTAATGATACTAAAATGAGGTCTGTGATGGCCTAGAAGATTATGAGGAAGGCCACCTTCTGAGTGCGTTAGAGTCCAGAATGAGCAAAACAGAAAAACAGATCAGAAGGAGGAGGTCGTGGTAATGGATTCACAGCCCATGAATACTTCAGACATTGAATGTACACATTAAATGAATGAATTCTAGGGCTTCTGACTTATATCTCAATGATGATGTGTCACAGCAGGTTCATCCAATCCAGAGAGGTTATTACTACTTTACAGACAGGTGTAATGACAGGAGCAAAGAAAGCATCTGTTGTGCAGTCACAATGTAAGAAAACTTAGCCTCTCTCAGGCAAAAGATAAAAGCGTGGTAATAAAATAAATGAGTAAAAATACTGTTAAGATGAAAAAAATGATAAAAATTACAACACCTAAGGTGAAAATGCAATGATCATAGGAGCAGTGCCATGTAGTGATATCGTTGCTTTAAATAATACCATTAGGTAAAGAAAGACCAGAGTTTTTGCTAACCAAAAATGAGGTGGATTAATGGGAGAGGGAAAAGCAAATTTAATTTCATGCACAACTGGTGATCCTGAAAAGAAGGCCAGATAAATTTAAAAAGCAAATTGTTCAAAATTGCATTAGAAAGCATTTTCTAAAAAAATTTTTGTGACTGGAGAAATAAATTTACTTACAAATGGAAAGGTCTTGTCTTATATAAAACAAATAATAAAGCATACCTTTAGATGTAGCATACAATATTATAAAGCATTAAAGAATAGTATTAGGAAAATCCTACAAGAAATCAGACATAGCTGCAGATCTATGGAAAGCTCATGCTGAGACTTCTTCGTAGAGAGTGGGAAGGGAGGTTGTGACCCTAGAATTCTACATATGTATGTCAAGTCCAAAGGAAAATATTGTGACCCAGGCAATAGCTCTTAAATTTTGTGTTATCTTTTACAAATACTTGTCAGGAAAGACATGGAAATAAAATATCCAATAATGGCAAAATTTGATTCCAAAATATGTCAGAATGACCTCTGAAACAATTCTAACAGAGAATAAATTTCAAACTCCTTTGTAGGATATAAGGCAAAGGCTATCATACAGTCACCAGTGAGCCATTCTTGAACTCGAGAAATATTTCATTTGTTTTAGAAAACTTTGAAATACATGCTAACATTATAAAATTCTGGTAATTTTTACTAAATCTAAATGAGCTCAGATTTATTGTCAGATATGAGTTACACTTGTTTCTGAAGGATACAGAACAGTTTCCCCTTTTAGGTCAGGCATTTCCATCCAAGACCTCTCAACTCTCTGTGTATGCACTTTACCTTTCTGACAAGCCCTTACAGGGACCTGCAAACTACTTGTCCTATAAATCATGCCAAAGTATGTGTAATACAAAATATTTCATAGTTTTAGCATTATAACTATGTCAAGGTCCTAAATTATGTTAATAACAATAGATAAGTCAGAATAGAAAAATATAGTAAGATTAACATGATTATTTCTTAATCTTACATGGTGAAACAAGACATTATATGGTCTTTTCATTTTTTAAAAAAATTTTCTGTGGTACTGAAATCCAACCCAGAGCTCCTCTGTAGCTTCTGGCATGCTAGGCACTGCTGTACCGTGAAGTCTCCCCCTAGCTCTCAGCCTTATAATTTTTTTATTTAGATATTTACCTGTTCAAAATAATAACTGAAATTTGACATAATCTCTTGAAGCCAACATATTTAACCCAAATGCAAGAGAAAGAAAATTGATCCAGAGGAGACACATTGAATCATAAGGGAAATATAGGTATCAAAAAAAAGTATACTGTATTGGATGGCTTATCTGATACTCTGGCTATTTAAGAGTTAAATTTACAGCATCCCTTAATTCAAGGAGTGTGAAACCAGCCTGAGCAATATAGGAAAACCATGCTTTTGACTAAACAAATAAATAAATTTTCCATTATCACAGTAATAAGAGAAGTAAGTGTTCTCATTTTAATGACAACAAAACAACCTTAGAAATGTTGATAATTTCTTCAGTATCATAAAAGTATATTCTGCCATACATTTTTAAGCTGAGCAGTTCCTAAATATACATAGACTAAAAACGCAGAAGATAGCATGGAAAAAGAAACAAAGGGGGAGCAGGGGAGAAAAAGACAATTGGTTTATGTGCCAAAATATTAATAGCAATTTTATTAGGTGAAATTGTATAACTTTTGTTTCCTGTTTTTGGCATTTCACATTTCTTATTTAGCATTTAGAGAAATGAACGTCCTTCAATATGTCCATCTTTGAATTAGGATTCTGAAGTAGTAAGAATTCACATTACTGATTATTATAATTTTTTATCAGGGACCTGACCAACATTCCCAATCTCCCAAGTGAGTGTTTAGGGAAGGCTTAAATAAATGAGATAAGTGGTATGATTTTAGGGCTCCAGGAGATCAAAACCCTCTGGCAGAGTTCGAGACTCTGGAGGCTGATACAAGGAGATCTCTGGGTTGCCTGTATTTACTTAGGTTTACAAACAAGGAAGGGATTAGAGTGGATCATCTCAGAGGTTCAAGGACTTTTCCAAGTAACAGATTATGTTAATTTAGGAGAACTATTTTATGCAAATTTAGGAGAAATATCTTAAGAGAAAGTCTCCAGGTTGACATTCATTGCAGGAGTCAAATGCTGGCAACTACAGTCTCTTAACTGTTAATAGAGGTTGGAGCCAGTGTTCTCAGCTGTGGCCTTATTTTGCCCTTGGAGGCATCTTTTGTTCTCAGGTCAGCTGTGCCCTGGCCTTGCTGCAGCCCTGAATGTGTGTTGTTTCCAGCTTCAATGGCCTCCAACATTTTTTGTCCACAGGTTTAGTTTAAATTTGAATTATTTTGGTTAATTAAAGAACAGTGTAGAATACTTTGATTTTGAGTCATTTGTTGTTTGAATAATTTCAGCCCATTTTGATTTATAAATTCATATAATATTTTTGCTTGTTCTTGACAGAGGGAGTTGATATGGCAATCATATCCAAGAGACAGACTGTTATTCTTTATTTAATAAAGAGAAAGAACCAGAACAAAACCGAATGCTAATTTTTGTGTCTGAATTATTCCATCAGGTGTTATAAATTACCAATCATACAATTACTTCAAAGTTTGACTTTTATTCATGTTTTTAGATCCAGAAAAGAGACGTAAATAAGGCACAGATGTGTTCATTTCAAAGGAACAGTGTTTCTATTGTATCCTAACACACATTTCTCTTTCCAGGTCTAAAGTCATTGGTAGGGATCCTGATCCATTGCCTAAAGAAACTTTCTGGTGCCATTATCCTAACGCTATTTTTTCTGAGCATATTTTCTCTCATTGGTATGGGACTGTTTATGGGCAACCTGAAGCACAAATGTTTGTGGTGGCCCCAGGAAAACAAAAATGAAACCCTATACAACAGAACTGGAAACCCACATTACATTCCAGGTAAGAATCATTCATCTCTGTGTAAGAATTTTAAACTTCTCAAAGGCAGAGTCGTCCTCATAAAAATAAACACTCAACTTCAAAGCCAACTACCCTATTAACCTCAAGTACATATTGGGATCGGTTTCATTTATGAGAATAGCAGAGTTCCCAATCTTCAGAAAGTTAAATCAGGAGAACTTAAATTTTGCAAATGTTATGTTTTCAAGAAGTGTAGCAGCATTATTTATGATTTTTTAGAGAGACTTTAAAGTGTGCTCTCTGTACCATAATATTTCTGTTCTTCAATAAATGTTTTTCATATACATGTAAATTTACTCATTAAAATTTTTGAGATGAGTTAAATGTCAAAATATGACCTGCATTACAGAATTTTTTACTACTGTTAGGTTTCAAAAACAGCTGTGTGCCTAAAATGCTTGAGTTCAACCTCTATTAATAAATGTATTTTGAACATAAAAATAACACAGAATTAACGTTGCTTAATTTTTGTACATAAGTCATTCTCATGTCTTTCCTCATATCTTCATCATAATTTTTCAGAAGAGTCACTGATATTCCTTACCTTGTTGCCAGGAATGAGATGGGAATGGAAAGATGTTAAGTAAAAGCTTCAAGATATTATAACTTCTAGGCAGCAAAACTATGACTACAACCAAGTTCAGCCTTCCTTAAATCAGTCTAGTCCTGTCATTTAGACCACATGTTCTGTGTGTGTGTGTGTGTGTGTGTGTGTGTGTGTGTGTGTGTGTGTGTGCCAGAGACTGAACTCATAACTTTGTGCTTTCCAGGAGGTGCCTACACCACTGAGCTAAATCCCCAGCCCTAGACTCCATGTCCATATTGAAATTGTCTTTCTCCTTAAAATTATCACCGTTTTTCTGAAAATATTGAGAAAAATATTTAGGAAAAACCCAATATTGTATGTTAATAAATCCTTGCAGTATGTCTATTATAATTTTATTTCCATTTTGCATACAATAAGTTCTAAAATAATACAGTATTTGACTTCTGGTTTATGACATGAATGATACAGAATTACTTATCTATGTGTATATAACATGCCTATGTTTTTGCCCTGGTGATAAGGATAAAAGGAGACAGACATTAAATCTTGCATTCTCGCTGGCATCTTTTTGGTTTCTCTAATACTGTAACAAATATGTGCTAGTAATCTGAGTATACTAGAGACTCTACTAGTTATTTGTAAGGAACTAGAGCCGAAATTCTTCTCATCTTTGTTGAAGTATGATAGTATATTAAAAATTATTTGTTTATACAGATTAGCACTTTAAATCTTGCCCTAGTCTAGTTATTACATTTCCTCAAATTACATTTCAAGAATTTCCAAAAATATTATTTGTATGACATTGTTAACCTACGGTAATATTCTTGCAAGTAGAACACATGTCATCTTTTTTGTTAAGATTATTGGTTATATACATGCATATATAAATAGTGATCATATTCATAATGGAAATTTATACCTTTTTATGACATAATATTATTTTCTTTTTCCCAATCCTCTTCCCCTTTCAACCCACTTTACCTTCCTTATTTACAAAAGCTTTTTTCCATTTTATATCTTTCATCTCTTTCTCTCTTACCTTCCCCCCATAGTTCCTCATTTTATTTGAACCATTTCTTAATATATATTGTACATTTTGGTCCTATTTACTCTTTCAGTCTCTCAACACCAGAGAAACTAAGATTTTTTTCCCCCAATCTGTTGGTTGTCTTTTCACTCTTTGTGATTTCTTTTGCTATTCACAAGATTTTTGATGGCGTGAGATTCCAGTTGCTGATTTTTTGTAGTATTTACTGTTGGATCAGGGTTTTGTTAATGAATTCATAGACTACACTTAAGTCTTTAAGAGTTCTACCTATTTTGTCTTCCAGCAGATTGAATATTTCTGTATCTTTTTTCGAGTGAATGTGTTTGACCACTTGGTTAACTATAGGGTGATTGTGTTTGAAGCTGTTTCTGCATCTTCTAATCTGTTCCATGAAACCTCAGGTCTGTTTATTTTTGCCAAAATCATGCTGTTTTTATCACAGTAGCTTTGTAGTATAGTTTCAAGTCAGGGATTGTAATGCCCCCTGCCTTATCTTTGTTGCCTAGGATTATTTTTGCTATTCTAGATCCCTTCTGCCACCCCCCCAATTTTTAGGAATATTTTTGTAGTTCTGTGAGATACAGTATTTTGATTGGAATTGTATTAAATTTTTATAGCAATTTTGGGAAGTATGGGCATTTTCACTATGTAGATTTTTTCTACCACAGAGCAAGGAATATTTTTCCATTTTCTGATATCCTCTTCAATCTCCTTTTCAGAATTATAATTTTCAATGTATAGATCTTCCTCTTCCTTTATTAGATTAATTCCTAAATATTTCATTTTTTGCAATGCTATTGTGAAAGGTATACTTTCCATAATTTCCCTCTCAGTGAATTTGTTGTACACAGAAATGGCATTGAGTTTTTGAGTGTTGATTTTATATCCAGTTATGCTTCTGAATTTGATTATGAAATCTACAAGTTTTGGGGGGTCTGCTTTGTAGAGAAACATGTCATCTACAAATAAAGATCACTTACTTTCTTCCTATCCAGTTCTTATTCCTTTTGTTTCTTTTTCTTGTCTAATTGTTCTGGCTAATGTTTTTAAAGGTATATTGAATAGGTGTAGTAATACTGAACATCTTGTTCCTGATTTTAGTGTGAAAGATTTCAGTTTTTGATCATGCTGGCTGTTGCCTTTTCATATTGGCTTTTAACAAATTGAGATAAAGACCATTTAGTGCAATTTTCTGCAAGTTTTTTTTGTTTTTCTCTTGAACTTTATCAAATGCTTTTTTCGCATCTATTGAGATGACACTACGGTTTTGCTCTTTGGCTCTGCTGCTATGGTGTGCTGCGTTTATTGATTTGCATATGTTGAACTATCCCTGCATTCAGTGAATGAATCCTCTTGCGGTGGTATATAGTCTTCTTGATGATTTGCTGCATTCTATTTGCCATTCTAATCCTCATCTATTGAGGATTTTTACATCTATGTTCATTAGGGAGATTGGACTTTAATTTGTTTGTTTGTTTGATTGGGTCCTTCTTTGTTCTTGGTATCAGGGTAATGCTTTCTTCCAGAAATGATTTTGGGATTAATGCTGCCCTTTAAGTTTCATTAAAGAGTGCCAGCAGTAATGGAATCATATCCTTTCTAAATTTCCTGAAAAACTTAGCAGTGAATTTATCAGAACCTGGGGTTTTGTTGTTAGGTTTTTAATTACAACTTCAGTTTCATTGACAGATATAGGCTTACTTAGAATTTTTATATTTTCTTGATTCAGTTTTGGTGAATATCTATCTAGGTACCAGACCATTTATTCTGTATTTTCCATCTTACTAGAGTACAGGTTCATGAAGTAGTTATTGATGATCTTCTAGTTTTCCACAGGATCCATTGTGATTTCACTGTTATCATTCCTAATTGCATGGATATGTGTCTTTACTTTGCTGATTTTGATTAAGATGGGATAAGGACTTATCAATATTATTTAATCTTTCAAAGGAGTCACCATTTGATCCATTGATTCTTTATTATGCATTTGTCTGTAATGTATTAATTTCTGCTCTGATCTTTATAGTTTCCTCCCTCAAATGAGCTTTGGGTTTGATGTGTTCTTCTTTTTTCTAGAAGTTTGAAGTTTAACAATAGATTGTTTATTTGAGTGCATTCTGTTTTTCTGATGTGAGAATTCCACACTATAAATTTCTCTCGTAGAGCTGCTTTTATTGCTTCACATAAATTTCAGTATATCAACATTATCAAAAATGGATATTGTTTAATTTCTTCTTTAATGTAAGCTAAGTCCTATTGGTTGTTTATAAGGATATTATTTAATTTTCAAGTATTTATGTAATTTTGGAGGGTTTTTTGTTGTTGATTTCCATTTTCATTGCACAATGGCCAGATAATATTTGTACTATAATTTCAGTTACTTTGCATTTACTTAAGCATGTCGTATGGGCTAGGGTAGTATGTGTTCTATATTGGAGGACATACCATGTCAGCTGAGAAGAATGTGTATTCTTACATTGTGGGGTAGAACTCTGTAGATGTCTAGTAAGTCTCTTTGTTCACAGATTTGGTTTAGTTCTGATATTTCTTGGTTGACATTTATCTAGTTTGTTTATCTATTTGTGTCAGCTTTTAAGGTCTCCCATTACATGTGTTCTAGTGTTCATTTGATTTTTTCACAACTTTTGATATTTGTATTATATAATTGGATGTGCTTGAACCAGGAATTTAGCTTAGTGGTCTTAGCAGTTGCCTGGTAAGTGTGAGGTTGTGAGTTCAAACCCTGGTCAAAATAAATAAATAAATAAATAAATAAATAAATAAAATTTAAAAAGTAAAAACTGGGTTTGCTGGTATTTGGTACATATATATTTACGATTATTATCACTTCCTTTTGGATTATTCCCTTAAAAAGTATGTAATAACCTTCTTTGTCTCTTTTGATCAATCTTGAGTTAAAGTTTGCACTGTCTGCAAAAATGGTAGGTGATTCTTGCTTATTTTCCAGGTTCCTTTCACATGGAATATTTTCTTCTGTCCTTTGATCTTCAGCCTATGAATTTTTTTGAGTTAAATTTGTTCTTTGTGTGTATCATATTATTGGACCTTGTTTCTTGATCCATTCTTCTATTCTGTTTCTTTTGATTTGTAATTTGAGATCATTTGCATTAATGCTTATAACCAACATGTACTGACATCCTTCTCATATGTTGTTGGTGTCTTATCTTGCCCCTCTATTTAATTATTTTCCCTTCTTGGTGGCTTTTTTTCTGTTGGTGTTTTTGGAAATGTGATCCTTATTATCTCTTTCTAAAATATCAAAGTATGTCAATTTGCGTTGGAGAGTGTTTTTTGTTTTTTTTGTTTTTTTTAGGGTTGAAATACTTTAAGCTCTTATTGGCTTGAAGGTTTATGTCAAGACTCTGCTGTCATTCTGATGGGCTTTCCTTTAAAGGTGATTTGTTTCTTTTCTTTAAATTTTTTAAATAGTCCCTTCTTGTGCTGAATTTCTTGAATCTTGATTATTATATGCCTTGGTATAGATTTGATTTGATCATGGCTCTTTGGAGTTCTATCTGCTTCACTGATTTGAATGCCAAATTCTTTATCTATGTTTGGGAATTTTTCTACCGTTACTTCTGTGAAGAGGATTTGTATGGCATTTGTGCTATTGTTAGCTTTCTTATTAACTCTGATCAATCTTATGTTGTTCTTTTTTGCTTCAATTTGCAGCTGTTAGATTGATTTTTCATGGCACCTTGCTGTTTTTAAATATCTTTCTTTGATATTGATATGATCACTAAGCACAATTCTGTCTTATAGATCTGATATTCTATCCTTACATCCATTCATTCTGTTGTATATGCTTTCAATGGGATTTTTTAAATCTAGATATCTGTTGGGTTCTGTCCTGGATTCTGTTTCTTTCCTATGGCGCATATATGTGGTTTCCATCATTTTCCTAAATTCCTTTATTTTTTTGTTTGTACTTATTCAAGACTTGTTGAGTCTTTCATTTTGTTCATTTCTTTTTTAATCTAAGAGATTCGTTTTTCTGTGACTTCATCCATTTGTTTTTTGATTTCTGCTGCTATCATTTCAGAAAGTTTCAGTTGGTGGCTTCTGATTTCCTCAATCTCGTGTTCTGGACTTGTTGTCTGGAGTTCTGAAGTTGCATTTTGCTTCTGCATCTTGTCATTTTTTTTAAAATTTTCTATCTTTTATTTTATTTTATTTTATTTTCCATGTTGATGCTGGTAAATTTCTTATGGTAAATAGATAGCTTTATCACCAGTATCAGTGCTTCCCCAGGAAATGTCTGTTCCTCAGAGATGTCTTCTAGATATAGGTGGTTCTTGGTCTTTGTGTTATCCCAAGAAACTACCTTCCAAATTTATCAATGATAAGAAGTTGCTGTCTATTTGGTTCAGCACTCAGCCTTTTGCCACTGACTATAGTGATGGTTGTGACTTTGGTAAATCAGTGTTGCCATTCAGGGGAGAAAAACTGATTGCAACACATATGACATCCTAGCTTAAATAATACAGGTAGCAGTACCAATAGCATCAGGCTCAGCCTAACAATTGACAAACTGTGGTAATTACTAATTCAGCACCTTTAGTCATAAGACCAAGGTCTGCAGTTATATGACAAAATCCAGCATATACCAGGAACTTGCATGTGATGAGTTCCTCCTTTGTACAGTGATTTTATGCTGTGTAGAGGGGATGTAAGAGGCATAGGTGACAAAATAGAGAGATTAATGAAGAGAAACCATAGTACAAGCAAGGGCAAAGAACAAAGGATATTCATCCAAGTTTTGGGAAACTGAAGAGTACAGGAGAAAAAGGCTGAAACAGAAAGTGAAAGAATATTGAAGTATGCAGTTGGCTCTTTCTGGGCCTTGCACAGCTGCCTCTGTTCCACACCAGTGACTTCTCATCTACGTTAGTCATAGGACAGGGAGAGTGCCCCTGTCCTACCATAGGTCATGACTGCTTTCCTGCTTCTGCCACTGGGCCAGTGCTGTACTGCTGGCCACAGACCTTGAGGGTAATTCCAGGCCTTTGTATTTTAAGCTAAGTCTGGCTTCTGACTGATTCTGGAGTGAAGCCTGGCTGGTCCCACCTCCTACCTCTCAGCAGAATCCTGCCCTCTCACCTGCTTTCTAACTGCCAGCATTCTACTGTGATGGCATGGCTCTTTCCTCATTCCATTCCAGGATGTTGGCAGTGAAGTGACCTGAATGGCTCTGCTGCTGGGGTTCAATTGAAATCCTTCGAAATAAAGTGGTGGCTCCACCTACCCCTTCTGTTCCACATGTCTGTGGCCAGAGCACAGCATCAGTTCACCTCGCTCACCAACCACTGGATCTGACCTCTCAGGAAACAGTGTCTCACAGTCTTGCTACTGCATCCACTTTTTTGTTGTCCCTGTGTTTTTCCCTGCACTGCCACACTATCTGTTGCAAACTTGGTGTCATCCCGTGCTACTATGTCACTTTCATTGGGGTTTTGACTGTCATTCTAAAAACTTGGACAAAGATACTTAACTATTTGTGGTTTTAAAAGTCATGTTAAATAATTTTAGGTGACAAATAAAAGTTAAATAATTTAGGTGACAAAATTGAAATTCAATTATATAAAAATATAAGTATATATTTAAATAGCTGTATAATTTTATGGGTTTGGACTCTGTAGTTTATATTCAGAGCAAAATACCATAGTACCTGATTTTCTATAAATACATTGTTTATGTTTAATTAACACTTCATTTATAGAAGATCAGGATGGCAGGACAAATGTTGTGGACTGTGACTATACCAACACAGTTGTAATTGAAATTAAGTGACATTGAATAAAATAGCTAACATTGCATGCTCAGTAGGTAAATCTGCTCTTTGTCAAGTAGATGAGTATGAAGATATTGGAAAATATTGTCTTCATCCTTCAGTTTTTAGAATTTTTGCTTCTAAGATCAGGCCAAACCTTGCTATTTCAAGCATTTTTCTGAACTCTCAAATTGGAAGAGACATTCATCTTTCTTTGCTCAGCCTTGTCACATCCAGGGCACCAAAGCTTCCATATTCCCAAAGGCCCCTTGCCTTGTGCAGAGATGGTAGGTTAAAAAGGCCAAGTTATTCGATCCTTCTCAGCTGTGCAGAAATGCTAATCTTCTACACAAATCAAAATGAACTCCCTGTATGCTGCTAACTCAAGATTAGATATAGATCATGATTTTTTTCCTATTTTTCAGAAACAGAAAGCTTTTATTATTTGGAAGGAGAAGAAGATGCTCTACTTTGTGGAAACAGAACCGATGCAAGGTAAATAGTACTAATGTTTTCTTGTACCAGTTAGAGTCATTCATCAATAGTATTGAATGATTATTGTTGAATGATTATTACTTTTAGTACTGGATTCTCAATCACTTCTATCATTTTTGTCTCATTTTATTATCAATACCATGCTGAGAGCTAAGGGTGTAGCCCAACAGTAGGGCTCCTGCCTAGTGAGCATGAGGCCTTAGGTTCAGTTACAGGTACCAAAAAAAGAAAAATGAAAAAGACCAACAAGTGCATCTTAGAAAAATTCAGAGAAGTTATTCTAGTCCATTTATGGATAATGCAATAAAATAACATAGAGTTTGACTCATACACAACAAAAATTTATTTCTCCCAGTGTAAGAGGCTCAAGTTCAGAACAAGGTGCCAGCAAATTTGCTATCTGGTGAGAGCCTGCATTTGGCTCAGAGATGGTGCCTTCTTGCTATGTTCTTAAAAGGCAGAAGAGCTACGGAGTCTCCCTTCAATCTCATTTGTAAGGACATTCATGAGGCCTTGCATCCTGATATAATCACTTCCCCAGAACTCCATCTCCTAATTTATTACCTCAGGGTTCAGAATTGAAACATATGAGTTTAGCCTGGCGCTGAAGTCTGCAATAATGAATAGCATTTTTTTCCCCCGTCTTTTTGAGACGGGATCATGCTATGCAGTTCAGACTGGCCTTGAGCTCACTTTGTAGGCCAGGCTGACCTTGAACTCATTAGGCGTTCCTGCTAGGATCCTTCTTCCTCAGCCTCCCGAGTGCTGGGGTTACCACTGTTGTAATACAGGATTATATTAATTCAGATTCAGAGAAAAACCAAATACTGCCTTACAAAATAATTGGTTTAAGGCCAAATCTAAGAGCTGGGACTTCAGCAAGTATCTGACTATCTGCTTTTTGTGTGTCCCTGCACTTGTAAGAATTACAAAGAAGGGGCTGAGGATTTAGCTCAGCGGCATAAGCACCTGCCTTGCAAGCAGGCAGTCGTAAGTTCGATCCCTGGTACTGATAAAATGAAAAAAAGACCAAAAAAAAAAAAAAGAATTACAAAAAAAGACAATATAAATTTACTCTCTTTTATAGAAGAGAAATTAAAGACATGCCATTATTTCATTTATTTATGACATTTATGTCTATGATAGATATAATTTACATTAATAAAAATTATTCTTTAAAGCACTACCTATAAATAATTATTCAGTGAAAAAAATAAAACTTTCATATTTACTGTTATAATTTCAGCAAAGCAAATAAATAACTAGAAATGGTACTTCTCGCCATTATCAGCCTTAAAACATAGCTCCCTACATTGCTTTGCTTAGCTGGTATGATTCAAAATCCATTCATAAGCTCAGCTAACTTTTACAGACAAGCTCAGATTGACAAAAGTTACATCAAGGAAGAAGCATGAAATGTACATTTGTATCTTATCACTTGCTTGGCATATCTTTTTGTCCAGTTTCTGGTGGGATTCCAATTTTTCCCTTATCCAGTTTGTGAACCTACCTCTTTGCGTAATATCCTGTTGCAACTAAGTCTTTTTATCTGCATCCCCAATTCAAATATGACCTGAAATGCATTTCAAAAGTATCGTGCTATGAATCTTCAGAAAATAATGATATATTTCAAGACAAAAAGAAAATATCATGTAAGGATTCACCTGTAGCAATCACACATTGCTGTATGATAAAGTACCCACCACAAATAAATACTGTAATATAAGAACAAAAGCTCATTTACTCAGATTCTGAAGATGAGCATTCAGCAAGCCTCAAAGTCCAAGTGTTTTTTTAAACCTCTGCTTATTCTACTAAAAGATGTCTAAAACACATGACATTACTAAAACAAACATAAGATAGGAGGGAAAGGTCTAAGGGCTTGGGTAGAGGGAAATATGATTTATTTGTATACTGCTGTAATAACAGGCCATAACCACCCTGAACTTCTCTAGGTAAAGGACAAAGACTCCCTGAAAGGAAATAAATATTTAATCTGCTTTTTCAAGTGCTAGTTCTGCTTCTTAATTATTAATGTAGTAAATGTTTTGTCACCCATAAGTAATGGAATCCAAGAGTTTTAGATAAGATCATTTGAAAATTAAAGTCTCAATTATTACAGTTTTATTTTTATCAGTACTATCTTCCTACAATTGTATTTTCACTTTGAGTTTTGAATTTAAAAAGTAATGTGATGCTGAGTAACAATCTTTATGTTTTTTTGTAAAATTGTCAAGATAGTAGAAGATAAATGTTTTCATCTCATAAATAATAAAGCATGTCAGGTAATGAATATATTAACTCAAGTTAGCCATTTGACAATGTATACATATTTGAAAGACTATTATGCTAAACATATGCAATTTTTATTCATCAATTAAAACATAAATCAATGCAAAAGTAAAAAGATTTAATACAACTATCTCAATGATTCTTTTTTATTTTAGTTTAATTAACATTATCCATGTGTATCAATCTAAAATCTAACTGATTAGCACTATTTAGACTATAAAGTTTTGGACAGAAGAATAATTCTATCCTGTGGAATGAGGAGCCTTCTGTTGCTCATATACAGCATATGATCCATGTTTCTGATTTGGCTAAAAGTCACCTAAGCAGTGCTTTTTTTCTTTTCTTTGTGTCTTTAGTCAGTGTCCTGAAGGGTATGTGTGTGTAAAAGCTGGCAAAAACCCTGATCGTGGCTCCTCAAATTTTGACAATTTTGGGTGGGCCTTCCTTGCCCTGTTTCGATTAATGGCTCAGGATTATCCTGAAGCACTTTATCACCAGGTAAGAAGGGAAGAACTTGCTCTGCACTTAAAAATGTCACCATGCCATCCTTTCCCCCAGTCAAATGTACTAAAGTGTATTAACAGTGTGTATGTGAAAGAATTTGAAGCTAGGAAAAAGAGAAGCAGAATTATTGAATATCAAACTGTGTGTAGGTTCTCATGCTTTTTTCTTTTGTGTATCTCATTTATTCATTTAAAAAGTTCTACAAGGTCAGCAGTCTCTGAATTACAATCACTTTGCTTACAAATTTTAATCTTCACAGTAATATGTAATATTGTAAATGTAAAATGTAATATGTAATAATGTAAATGCAAATAATAGCAGAAAACATACTATGAAATACGAATTTTGATCCTTTTCTTGGACTAGTGTTATATGTTATTATGGCTTTTCTCCATACTAAGCCACAGTAGTGAACCATAGGATCACAAGGAGAAACAACTTGTGTTCCACAGTGTTCTGTTTAAGCTGTGATGTTCAGTAGGTTAGATAGACCAAATTATATTCACAAAAATTATGAGAGCCTGCCTTCATATCTAATTATGTGTGTAGTAGTTTTTCAGAATTGCACAATACTAATAGGAACAGATTTAGCATTACCTAAGGAACTGTGTGTTAATCTTATTGATTGGTCATAATTTTGACTCACATTGTACCTGTCTCATAATTTTGCTCTCTAAAATTCCTTTGAGAGATGGGTTCTTTGGTAACCCATTAGGAGCCCCTCCTGCTTCTTGGTAGCTATTCTTATTCCTATTGTCCATTCCTATTCTCCAATAAATTTTCCTACTCATAAAATTTTTTCAATGAGAAGTTGTATCATACTAGAATATACAATGTTACTTTCAAAACAGGAGAATTAATATCAAGAGATGCTAGATAAAATTGTTGCTTTAAAATCTGAAAGTATTTATAATTAAAGGAGAGAATTTTCTTTTTAAAATAAAACATAAATATACCATACTTATTTTGATTGGCTGAATTTTGAGCTAGTTCAGTGGTAAAAATATTAACTCAACATAAAAAACTGATTTACTGTGATACAGCGGTTATTGAAAATACTTAAAAAACAAATATGCTCTGCCAGACATGGTAGCTTACACTTGCACCCAGCACTCTGGGAAGCTGAGGCAGAAGGATCTCTAGATCAAGATCAGCTTGGCCAATTTAGCTTCTCAAAATAAAAAATATAAAAGAGTTACTTTTGTAGATCAATGTTAAGGCCTTTGCTTCTAGTCCCAGTCCCATGGAAAACTAACAAAACAAAGCAGAAACAAAAATAAAAACAGATAACTCCAAGTTAACTTAAAATGTTTATTGAATATTGAAATTTTCTGTTACATTGTAAGCATTCATTTTTTTTTTTGCAATAATGGACTAGAATCCACAGATGCTCTACTACTGAACTATAACCCCAGTCTCTTTCTTATATTTATTTTGGAATAGAGTCTCACTAAGTGGCTTACGCTGGTCTCATACTTTCTACATAAATAATAATTTTGTGTTGATACAATGGATGCTTATAATTTAACATTGTCCCCATTTACCCTCTGGAATTTTTTCACATATTTTCAATTGATGGAAATAAATAGTGGATAAGATTATGCACTTATAATTTTCTAAAGCTTTGAATGATCTAATCTATTAATTAACTATTATGAAATAAAAGGTTCTCATGTTCAGTTATAATTTTTGTCTATTAATATGCTTTCTGTAATTGTCTCATATAGGTCATATGATTATCACATCTTATTTATCTAAACATTTTACACCAAAGCAGGTACTGTGACAAGCTCATAAATTTTCCTCAACTTCTCCTCGTTTGTATATGCCTGATTTTGTTCTTTGCTGTTATTTTTCAACAATGTAAAGGAGAATATTCTCGGCAACATTCTCTGATTTCACTCAGCTTTCAATATGTAAAGATTCTGTTGCAAAGAAAATAATTTTCTGGTTTGCGACTGGTCAGTTTCTTCATTAAAAGGCAGTGACCTTTATCTAGGTACAGTGGCATGTTCTCCTAGGTCCAGCAGCTCACAAGACTGAGGCAGATGGATCAGTTGAGCTTAGGAAGTAGGGCAACATAGCGACTTACGTAAATATGTAAGTTGAAAAATAAGAAACAGAGGATTATTCTTTCAATAATGAAGCTATAAAAGTCAAATGCTCATCCTTAATTAATTTGATGAATTAATTAGCCTAATTCCATCCTTGGTTTTGTAGCATATATTTTATACCCCAAATATACATATAAAGTTGATTCTCATTTATTTTTATATAAAGACAATGTTTAAACCAACTTTAGTTACATCAGTATGAATAAATTACAATATTTTCATTTAAGAAATAGAATACACATAGGAACTACTATTTTACCCTTTTTTCTGTATTCTTCCTTTCCTTAGATTCTTTATGCATCTGGGAAGATCTACATGCTATTTTTTGTTGTTGTCACTTTTTGGTTTGCTTTTTATATGGCAAGTCTGTTTATAGGCATACTTTCTATGGCCTATGAAGAAGAAAAAAAGGCAGCTTCTGAAAAAACTGAGACTAAAGCAACATTTCAACAGACTATAAAAGCACTTCAAGAAGGAAATGGAGCAGCTGAGGTATGACTTTTTATGCTTCTTAAAATCGTATGTTTAGATGTTCTGTCTCCAGGTCTTGGAATATATTGCCCTCTGATAGATGCTCATATCTGTGTGGCACGTGGTTAGGTAAAAGTTATTCTAATAACAGGAGTCTGTAATGCACTGTGATGATGACCAACATGTTTAAATATTTAATATGTACTTATTCCCAAGATTTATATTGCCATTGTTGATAAACTATGACTATGTTTAGAATTAATTTCTCCTAATATAGGCATACTTTATTAATTCAAAATTGAATCAGATAACACATCAAAATTAACTGTGGATAATGTCTCTTGTTGAATTCTAAATGATGGTGGCACCTTCCCTAATTTAAAAGTGATAAAATTCCAAAAGAATGGATGAAATAGAAAATCATAGCAATATATATATATATATATATATATATATATATATATATATATAATTGATTTTCTAATTCCTTCAATGAGATATACACAATGTATGATATATAGGGAATTATTTTAACTACAGCACAATCAGATCCATAATTGATAAAAATGTCAATGCTTTTCTATAATTTAAAATACCTTAATGTTATGCTTGAATGCTTTTACAAATTACTAGACTATTGTATTCACTATGTGATTCCAAAAAGAATGACAAATAACACTAAGGAAGTTTTATAAAATCATTTTTAAAAATCTGAATTGTGTTGTATGATAAAGGAACTTTTCTCAACTTGCTTGCACAATTTTACTAGTAGGTGGAAAAATCATCTAGACAGATACACAAGACAGACGTTAGAAAAGAACCGTATTTGGGAATCCTACTATATTAAAAAAAAAAAAGTTAGGGAAAAGTGAAGGATCAACACAGAGCCCAACACTAACCAAAATACTAGGAACATTAGCTGAGAGGTTTATTAATACCAAAGTCCCTTCTGACGAAAAAAAAAAAAAAGCAATCATAACTCTTCATATAACCATTTTATTAAATTATCATCCAAAAAGTGACGCCTAAAGAGTGCAACATAGGGGCTTAGCCATGACTTGATACTTGTGTTCTAACACATGTATCACTGGACAAGAAGTAATTAGGCACTGTGTGAAGAAAATGCTTAAAAGGAGACTATTGTCACTCATGTGTGAGTCACAGAAAAAGAACCTACAAAAGCTTTCTGTCTCCAAAAATGAGTCAGGGTCCTTAAAATTGAATGATTAACTGAATGTCTTTGGAATGTGCAATTTGTTCTCAAATGGCATTTCAGAAGTTCAAGGACTGGAGCTACTCACGAATGTCTCCCAGAGTATAATAGTTCTCTTATTTCAAGATGAAATGCTTTATTAGCTCTGACCTAGAAAGAATTTCAGTATTTTGCATTATCTCCTTTCACTTTGCTATTTGGATCCCATAAAATTTCTCGATTTTAATTAATCCCTTTCAGTTATAAAGAATTTCTTTTCCTGGAACAGCCCTAGAACATTTCATCATGTAGAGATTTTTGGGAAGTGAGAATAAAAAGCATGTTCACAAAAATTTGAACCTTTTCACACATATTTATAAGGTGGAAAATACATTTAAAGGACTTTTAAAGTTATTGATGTGATTAAAGACCAATTAAATTTCAATTCCAATGCTAGAATTAGAGGAAAATAGCTTAGATGCATAATATCCTTATAATATAGGAAAGCTATAGTACTACTTGCTAAAAGCACCATGTTACAGTCAGTTAAATGTGGGCTTTAGTCTATTTTAGAGTAATATATACTATTATATAGTAATATATTTATGGTATTTGTATATCTATTAACATTGGTAAAATTCAAATTTTTATTTTAGAATATTTATAAAATTATAGTACTCAACACAGATTGTTGGAAGCCCAAATGGAACATATATAAAGCATATTGAAATACTTATAATAGCTATGCACATGAAATATACTGATAAAGTTATTTGTGAGAATTAAATCTCATATTATAGATAGCTTATACCAAAACTATCACATATACCAGCCAACACTAAGGACTCTTGATTTTTTATAGAAAAGCCTATCTTTGAATAATTTCACATTGCAGATATAAATTATTTCATAATGTTATAAAATTAATACTATGTGACATTTATTGTTTACTTATTGTATTCTTGACTCAATGTCAAATGATTTACATATATTCTCTCATTATATCTGTTATAGCCCTTTGAGATGTAAAAATTATCCCTGAATCCTAATAGAAAATTGAGTGTTAATCTCCAATGTACCAAACATACAGCTAGCCACTGTACAAAACAAATATTAAATTTTTGTAGTTATTCCCTATCAACTTTAATTCACCTATAAAGAAGATTACAAAGAACCAGTGACACAGTTATACAAATGGATGAACTGCACAAACACAAATTCTTAAGTCTTTGACTATATTTAGGCATAATTAAAATAATAATAATAACAGTAGCATATGGTTTTTGAGTACTAGATTTTGTGACAAATATATATACATTTTTGAGACAGAGTCTCACTGTACAGTTCAGGCTGGCTTTGAACTCACTATATAGCCCAAGGCAGACCTTGAATTGGCAACCCTTCTGCCTCAGCCTCCCAAGTGTTGGGATCACAGACGTACACTCCCACACGTGGGACTTCTTAAATTCAGTCCTCATTTTTGTGTTCCAGATGTGGGTTTGATCTCTGCTGAATCACCACTCTAAAGGAAGCTCCACTGTTCACTTTCCTAACTTGTTCTAGAAGCAAATGGCAAAACAGAATTATTCCATCATTTACACAGTTTGCAGGTGAAACTTTTCCTAAGTATAGTTAAATACTGCTAAAAGCTCAGGAAGGAAACTAGGTACTTAAAAAATATTTGGCACATATAAATTTACATCCTTCCAGTTCATTTATCTAATAAATCAAAACATTAGTGAACATTACAGTAAACACAAAAGATTAACAACGTTAACAAATATAAATGCATTGCCTATGTCCCTGAAGCTCATAGTTTAATGGGCAGATATACTATAAAATTGCCATAAACACAAAATTGTACACCTGAGACAAGAATTTACGTGTCTCCAAATATTATGAGTAGGCAAGACAAAGCAACATGAATTATATATTTGCCAAAATCTAAGCCTAGTAAGCCTGCCATCATAGCTGGCTTTTTCGGGACAATAAGAGAGAAGCACACATTAAATTACACTGAAAGAGCACAATCTGCCAGAGTGAGAATGTGGAAAATTCCGTAAGGCATCCAATATTTTTAACAAATCATACAAGAAAAAATAAAATCAGAATATGATTAGTAGGTATACCAACCAAACGCAAGAGTAACCTTGTTTGTGGTTTTATTGAAACAAAGCAAATCTGAAAGCCTTGTGAAGCTGAGTGTGGTAGTGTTCCTGAAGCTCCTGAAGACGAGGCAGGAGGATTGCCACTTTGAACCCAACTGAGGCAACTTAAACTGCTTAACAAGACTCTGGCTCAAAATAAAAAATACAAAAATCTGACAAAACAGCTCAGTGTGATACCTCTGGATTGAGTTCTCAGTACTGAAAAAATATTGAGAAATGAAACAAAACTGAGCATTAATAAATTACTTATGTCATTGATGTGACAGTAGTATTGACATATGCTTTATAAAGCACTTTATATGAAATTATATAGCATCAGGATTTGATAGAAAATGTTTCAAATAAATGAGCTGAAAATAAACAGATGAGAAGACTCACTATATGATCATTTTTAAAATATGCAATGTAATGAGGCAAGTACAATAGAGAAGTGTGCATTAAGAACCTTTGAAGAGGATTTCTCAGTCAGAAAGGTTTTGACTGAGATGTACCGAGGAACCCATGCTGAAGGCAGGGAGCAGAAGGAGTCAGAGGAATAGGAAGAAAAAATGGCTAGTTCCAGAAAGCAAGTCTGAACCCAAGATGAGCATACCAGGTGTTTGCAGGTAAATAAATGCAAAAAGTATGGTATTAGCTAGGTTCTTCCTTATCCTTTATAAAGTTCAAATATGAATGCAGTTTTGCACATCAATACTGAAGACATCTCTGGCTATTCTCGCGATTGTGATGATTGTGTAGGACTTGTAATGTCTACATCAAAACCTAGGACTTTTGACTTCCTTTATAATGCATTAAGTCCTTTGAACCCTGTTAAATCCAAAGCAAAATATGGCTTTAAAAGTTACTCAAATGACATGAGAAACAAAGAAATTATTCCTAACAAAATGTCCTATTCTCTTAATATAGTATCATACATATTCTGTCCAATGCAGCCTTTTAAAATCTATTCCATTACCTCATGCTCTTTATAACTTATTTTATTATCATAAAAGCAAATCATTTTGATTCCACAGGATAACTTTAAAATATACACTTAATGTACACTTAACAAAAAAACCTTAAGGTGCTAGGGAAATATTATTCATTATCATGCTTGAAATTGAATATTTTACCATAATTTTGCCCTGGATATGATTTCTTTCTGAAATATAAGCAATACCACTAACATTCACTGATCTTCACTTTTATTGTTGAGCTCATAGTATAAAATTTTATTGGCTAAAAGTCATAATGTTTTTTTTTAAATAACCCTAAATCAGTTTAACACTGCAAGTAATGCAGAAATTGTCAAATGATAGAACTCAAAAAGACTCCTGGAAGTAAGAGTCGGTATTTTTAAGAAGGTTTTTATTTTCTCACAATTGTGGTCTAGGACCTTTAAAAGGTAGAAGCCAATATTATATGTACAAATTGATTTTCAGAACAAAAGCACACAAATAGAAATGAAGAAAAGATCACCAGCTTTTTTGAGCACTTCTGTGGACATGTTGGAAGAGTCTACTTCTGGACATAATGAAGGTAAAGAAAACAAAATAAAAAACCAAAATGAAACAAATCAGACACTCAAGAGAAGGTACCATATTTCTAAGACTCACTTTTAAAGAAATCCTTTTTTTCTTCTGAATTTAGGTGATTATCACCAAATTTTTAAAATAAAATGTTAATATTAAAATAATAAATAAACCTTCAGAAGCAAATGTCTTACACATTGAAAAGTGTTAACAGTTGTACCAACAGTTTTGCTTTAACATTAAAAACACTGGAGTATTTTGGAATTGGATTACCTAGCTGACTCTTGCATCACATAAGTTTGAACAGTGTGTGTCCTCCTTCCTTTGATTTCGGGAGAGATTCCTAACAATTAAAAAAATCATGCAGGTAGACTATATAGCTTAGAAGTATTTAAGAAAATTAAGAAAAAAGGTGTTTAATGAATCATGAACACATAGATAATAGTGTTTTATTGTTTACTACAAAATATTTCAACAAACTAATTATAAAACATCAAAATAGTAAAAAAGTATGTACATAAACAAGACCTAACATGGTTGCATTTGTAGTGAAGAGACATGTAAACAAAAATAAAGAAGCAATACTTAATCATTACTTCAGAAAATAAATAATAGCACATACTGGAATTGTTTTGTAGTCACTTCCTATTGCTATTAAAGTGAGCTCAGTTGAGAGTAATCTTGGGAAAATTCCATATGATACTGATCATCTCTAGATGAGCAGTTCATCTCTCTGGAAAACAGCATATTACAGTACAAAAAAAGCTGTGATTCTTATATATATTCACTAATATGATAATGATACATATTAATTGATTATTTTATCAGTAAAGGTTCTAGTCAGCAGTAGGGTATTGGTCCCTAATTTTTAAGATTTTTTACTGTACAAGGGACTTTGACCCTGATCTCCATGATATTAAAAGGGAAATTGTATAACATACTAGTCTTTCTACATTTTCTACATTCTATTAGTCTTTCTACATTTTTTTACATGTAACTTAAATTCTTTATTATGATTAATATGGAAAGGCACCAATTTGTAAAACATATAAATATAACAAATTGTAAATCATATTATCACCTCTATTCCATTTTTGTTTTCTTGAGACATATTTAATACTTTTCTTCTAATTTATAATTTGCTTTATTTTCATTTATCTAATCAGGAAACACTAATAAAATATGGGAAACTTAGTCCACTGTTCTTCTTATTATCATATTTATATTTGTTAATCTGATAATTCCAAGTTAGAATATTCTCATTGCCCCTTACATACAAAAGTCAAAACTGTCTACTAGTCAGAAGAAAAATAATTTCTAATTTTTAACTTTTTTTCTCATTTCAGAACTTAAAAAATCTAGGAAGAAATGCCCATTGTGTTGGTATAAGATTGCAAAAACTTTCTTGATCTGGGATTGTTCTCCCTGTTGGCAAAAACTGAAAAACTTTGTCCATAGGATTATAATGGACCCATTTACCGATCTTTTCCTTATCATATGTATAATTTTAAACATACTTTTTTTGGCCTTGGAGCATTACCCAATGAGCGAAGACACCTGGTCTCTTCTCTTCTTTGGAAACATGGTAAGACTCTCATTGTGTATTGTTTTCATGTGAAATTTCGTTATTATTATTGGATTATTTGTTATTATTCTCATTATTTTGTGTCATAACTTCAGTGTGCTCCAGTGCATATGATTATATTATTGCTGGATAAAGCATCAAGTTCATGCTTCTCCCTATCTGTCCTCCCTCCCAATTTGTAAATGTTCTTATCATCAAGTAGTTTAGGAACTGGCATTTAAAATTCTGTGGTTTAAATTTTAGATTCTGAGTCATCAAGCTTTTCAGTTACACTTAGTGTAAATTATGTATTGTCTGTCCCTCCTCAAATGTACACTGTCTTTGTACATTGTCCCATAGATCAGAGTAGCCAGACAGAAAACGAGGCACCCGTATCTGAATTCTGAATCCCGAATCCTGCTTAAACCAATTCCCAGCCCCCTCTATTTAGTTTGTGTTTGCCTTACATTTGAGATTATCATTTTGACAAGGTATTTTTAAGATTCACCTGCCCTTTTCCATATGTTTAAAAACAAATACATTAAACCAAATGAATTATTATTTATATTTCTTAGCTTTTATTGTTGTTTTAGTTGCTTAGAACTAATATCAATCTGATATCAATAAGTTTTGTACTCTGCATTTACTAGATACTAAATCAGCATGTTTTCTATAGGTTTACTGTTTTTCTCTGGATAGTATATGTGCATTTTTCTTTCATAGTTTGAAAAATTCAAAAATGTTCATAGGTTGAAAAATTATCTCAAAAGAAAAATGGAAAGATTTTCACTTTCAAATATTTGTTTGTTTTATGGAAGAATTACATCTATTAAAATAGTTACATGTTTCATATATGATGTCTCACATGAGATAGTTAAATATAAGGCATGTCTCTTTTGTCATAATGCAGACTTCAAAACTAACCAGATCTGAGAGGAGTTTTGAGGAGAGTGAGAGTGAAAAGTTGACATAGTGTTATGGTTTCTTGTATGTCATTTCTAATGTGAGTGTTAGAATAATTGTCATTAACATGTTTTTTATTTAGGTTTTTATTGGAATTTTTACAGCAGAAATGATTCTTAAAATAATTGCCATGCATCCATATCAATATTTCCAAGTAGGATGGAACATTTTTGACAGCATAATTGTGTTATTTGGCTTGGCAGAATTTTATCTAGCAAATATTGCAGGACTGGGTGATTTTCGACAACTAAGAATAGTAAGTAGACTCTAAGTTGTAATTTTTATTTTATCAGTTTATCTCAGTTTTCTCAAACATAAAACGAGATGTTTGCAATGTAAAATTTTCCCACCTGAAAAGTGGAAGTATTCAATAAACTGATCCATATGTAAGGAACCTAGTGAAAGGAAGCTGTTCCCAATGCTGTTATTTGATCCAACTTTTAAAGTAAACAGTGCCATATATGCAGCAAATTTCATATGCAGTTATAGAAGCAAGAATCAGCATAATTAAATGTCATTTTAAAAGCAAGATAATGAAGAATTCTAGAAGTAGAATGCCAGAAAGTGGAATGGCAAAGTAGAAATAAGTAAATATGTCTAAAGTTGGAGTAGAACATATTTTAAAAATCCAATGTTACAATGAAATTTATTAGGTCAGAATCCCATGTGTTTACAAATAAGGAAAAAAAATGAGAATAAGAAAACCAGATAAAGAAAAAGTATGTTAGAACAGTATTTGTGAACATGTTAAGCATTCAGTAAGTAACATACTATCACATTCTGATGACAGATTGAAAGAATGTAGCAAGAATCAGAAAAAATAAAGCAGGTTTGTACTTATCCAAATGATTATTTCCTAGGCAGCAGCTTCTACAGAACCCTGCCTTAAAGCTTTGACAATGAATTTAGACAAGAACAAGAAAAATATATACAGGATATAGATATCAAATTTATGGATAAGTAAGGGCAGCAAAAACAAAAGCTAATATTAAAATATATTGATGTATAGTAGTAGATTGGATCTAAGATGATTAAATTTTACAGAGGTAGATGTAAAGTCTTGAACCCAAAAAGCCAAATACTATATATACTTGAAAGTCAAGAAGGTATAATATGTATTAAAATTGTATGTGGGCTTCAGATGACTGCATGTATACTGTAAGACAGTAACCAAAATTTTAACATGGTTTTGTTCTATCTAAATACAAATGAAATACCTGGTGAAAAAAAACTAATGTGTATATTAACCATGGAGTATTGTACTTGGTCTTTGGCATGTAAATTTTTCAGTAGAATTTTCAGTGGAATTCAGTGTATCCAGAAAAACTCTTTCACTATCACCAGTATATCACAATGTGGAAAAATAACCAATATATTATGAAAAGCAAATCAAAGAATGGATACTTGTTTACCAGATATTAAAATTTTAATAATTTTGAGTATAATATTGATTAATAATTGACAAATTGATCACTAGAAGTGATGATATTGATTTACTGAACAAAGTTTTATAATATGTAAGTTTTATTAAAACTTTCATGTGAAATAAATATTCAGTGGTTAGTGTTAATACCTAATACAGAAAGTTGCTTTGAAGGCTGTGTACTTTTAAGTATAGTGCTGATAAAAATTTTAAATGTGTATTATAATGAATATTGACTTGTTTTGTTGTTGTTGTTATTATTGTTTGCTTCTTTTTATGTGTTTTCACTGTTCTTTTAGTTACGAATTTTCAAGTTGGGGAAATATTGGCCAACATTTAGGAAGTTGATGCTGACTCTTAGTAACTCATTAATGGCCTTGAGAGACATTATCCTGCTGCTCTTCACATTCGTCTTCTTTTCTGCTGTGTTTGGCATGAGGCTGTTTGGTGAGAGTTACAAAGAATGTGTCTGTCGCATAGACAAGGATTGTCGGCTTCCACGCTGGCACATGCATGACTTCTTCCATTCCTACCTGATTGTGTTCCGAATTCTTTGTGGGGAATGGATAGAGACTTTGTGGGACTGCATGGAAGTGGCAGGTCCATCATCATGCATTTGTTTTTACATGATGGTCATTTTGATTGGAAACTTGTTGGTAAGCATCCTGTGATTTTATATTGTTTTTCAAAATAACTAGTAAGGAATACTTTGATATTTTCATGATGTAGATTGATAAAGTCCAGTGATCTATAGCTCAGATGCCCAGTAATGGGACTGAACAATCCTGAGACCAGTAGCTCTGCTGGCCCTGATCAGTTAAAATGTGGCTGGTCTAATACAAGATGTGTAGTACTAGTTTATAACCTTATTACTCCAAGTAGCATTGGCATCATATGATGATGGTGAACCTTTTAGAGTCTGAGAGGCAAACTGCAACACAAAACCCATTTATTTATTGCAAAGTGCTAACATTCAAATGAAACCTAAAGATTGACATTTTAGTTTATAAAAAAATATACATTAATATATTTTGTCTTTAAAGAAAAATGCAACACACGTGTGTTATAGGTCCACTGAGAGATCATCGGAAATGTAGACCCTCAGATCCTATTCCAGACCTGTAGAAGAATAATCTACATTGCAACAATATTCTCAGATGATTTAAATGCTCATAAAAATGTTTAAAGCTCTTAAATGTAACAGGCTGTCCCTGCACATTGCAGTTATCTGGAGAAATTTTAAAAATTGCCAATCTTTTAGATCCATTCCCAACAATTTTAATTTTATTAATATGTGGATGTAGATTGGATATCAGAACTTTTTAAAGTTCTCATTTGACTTAAGAGTGCAACAAAGGTTATAAGCCATAGGTCCAAAAGGCATTTTGCCTAAGCTTTCATTTTTAAATGGCCTAGTAAGTAAATTGGTACTACATGAATCAAATAAATAGCTGTAATTGCTTGTAAGAAAAAGGTATGATTTAGAAAAGAAAATTATTCATAAAAGAAAAATACAGACTATTTGCTTCTTGCATATCTATTGTAAAGAGCAATTGCCTTTCAAAAGAGAACCTTAAAAAACGAATCGTGGGCCACACCTAACTTTATCTGTGGCCTCTGTGTCTTCTTTTCATCTGAGAAATAATACATTTACCAGGTTGACATTGTGTCAAAATGTAATATTCAGATTTTTTTTAAGTTCAGTTCCCAATTCTGCTACTTACTAAGAATGTTCATATTACGTATGTTCTTTAAGTCTGACTACATTTATTAGGAGGAATGAACCTAAAATCATTACATAGTTTGTAGTGTTTCTGTATTATCAGCCAGCCTATAAGTGATTCTTCTCTTTATCAGGTAGGAATTTCAACCTAACATCTATGAGGTTTTTTGTTTGTTATTTAGGATTATTTAAAATTTAATAAGTATTATTCATAGTAAACTCATAGTATTATTTTAAAAACTTGATGAGGAACCCTATGAATACAGGTTCTTTCTAAGTGTTAGGCTTGTAATTTAGATATTTGGCACCAGGTGAATTATTGTACCCAGTACAGTTCTGTAAACCAAGCAAGAAGGGATTAAAAACATGAAAAGAAATTAAAAACAATATGAAATTGAATTTAAATTTGAGCTTCAGTATGTATGTTATTCTACATATATTTATAAATTATATATCAAGGCATAATTAGAATAATATTAAAAGAAAAAATCTCAATATTTGATATATTTCTGATCCACATTTATTCATTTCTGAATCAGGAAAATAATTACTTAACCAAATAAATTTTTCTTCTGTTTCTACCTATGTGATTTTGATATTAGTGCTCAATTCTCACTTTTTATGTGTTTATCTTTTAGGAGACTGAGAGCAAATTTCAGGGAAAACTTTCAAATATTCTGTTTTATATGCATTAATTCACTTTTTGTCCCACAACACAGAAACAATAAATGTTTGTTTTGAACCTTGTTATAATTTTTCCAATAGAAGAATGTTATGCTACCTATATAATGTAATATTTTTCCTACCCTTTTTAATTAATTCTTAAATTAGAAGTAATCAGTTCTACATAACTGGGGCCATTTGCAGCCTGGTTATTACTTTTTTTTAATATTTAAGAGGTAAACCTATTTTTAATTTGTAGCACATCCCAATAAAAGAGTAAGAGTTTGCATTGCTATAAAGTTCTTTCCTTATACCACAGTTCTAAAGCATTTTGAACAGTTAAACTAGATTAATTTCTAGTCTTTTAGAATTCTAGCTGCATTTGTACATATGTGCACATGTCTACTTATGATAGAGAAAGAGGGAGGGAAGGAGAGAGAGAGAGAGAGAGAGAGAGAGAGAGAGAGAGAGGAAAAGGAAAAGGAAAGAAAAAAAAAAGAATCACTATGTACGTGTTCAGCACCTTGGATAGCTCCCGAAGCAGGCGATTAGCCTGAAGTGGCGGTAGCTGCCTAAAGTAACAGTTCACTACCTTTTCTTGAGTAAAATAGCCTGGCTCAATGGTTGAAGAAGTTTTGGAATAAGGAAGACTTGAGTCAGATGCGTGTAAGTTTAATATTTAACGTGCATAATCCTTGCCTGTTCATCTGTGAAAGAAAAGCAATTCATTGTACACACTGTTGTGAGGTTAAAATGAATTCTGATTAGACAAGCTCAGGATGGCACCCGACACACCACTGATGCAGATGAACTGAACAGCACTCTGGAGCACGTGTTCACTTTTCAGATCACTCATCCACATATATGGAAGATTGTTTTATTTCGTTTACAAGGAAAAAAAGGAGATACATTTAACTTGCTTTTACTTTTTTAGATCCTTTACCTGTTTCTGGGATTTGTGAGTGCATTTAATTCCTATAGAGATGCAACACCTGAAGAGGACAGTGAAGCAAAAAATATTCAACTTGCAATGGCTAGAATTAAGAAAGGACTAAACTATGTTCTTCTTAAAATATTGTGCAAAAAGCAAAATGTTCCAAAGAAAACAGTGGACCATGTAAATGATACATATGTCAAAGAGAATACTTCGGATCATACACTTTCTGAACTGAGCAATACTCAATATTTCCCCAAAGAAAAGGAAAAAAGTAGCAACACAGAGAAGAACACAACGACTGAAAATGAGAGCCAGTCACTTATCCCTAGTCCCAGTGTCTCTGAGAGTGTACCAATTGCTTCAGGAGAATCTGATATAGAATATGCAGATAACAAGGAAATTCAGAGCAGGTCAGGCCATGAAGACAGCAAAGGGGTAAGATTTTTTCCTTATTGTTTTCTAGCTTTTTATGATACTCTTCATTAGGAAGTAAATCCATGATGGGTTTCCAGATCCAGATTACCCATTCAATACAAGCTCTACCACTCCTAGCTCATGATTTTCTCCTCTTGAAAATATCACTTAAAATTTCTAGGTTCTTTTCCTAATATGTAAGTGGGGGATAAAGTTGAACTTTTCAAGAAGAATATAAAGAATAAGAAAGATTTGTTCAATTGTAACCATACATAGAACATTGTGTAATATGTGTAGCATTTAGAAAAATTAGATGAGATAATTGTGAAATTCTACAAATCAGTAAGCAGGTAGCTTAGGCTGATGAAAGGCATACTGAAAAATCTGTTTTTAAAGACAAATATGTATGAATGGTGAAATCACCAAACCTCCTGGGCTTTATCATCTTTAAATGTGAACTGAGATTAGTAAAGCACTAAGACTCTTGCTTAAATTATAAGATACCAGTTATTTCATTTTGGTAACATAAAAACACATGATTAAATTGAATAAAAAGAAAGAAAAAACTACAGCTTGTGTGGATTTATAAATCAATAGCTAAGAAAAGAAGTCGGGGACACATTTTAAAATTGGCATTTACTTGCTGCTTACTCAGCTTGTAAGATGTATAATCTTTAGAAAAGACTGTCTCCATTTGCAAACATCATAATGGTGTAGGAGGTAGTATAATTTAACAGAAACCTAAATGTACAGAGATCGCATTTGCACTGTGGGAGTCTTGCTTTGGGCCCCTGAGGAATCATTTCAGGCTACACAAAGCCAAGGAAAAGTGTCTTTTCAGGTCTGCAGTATACCTGGTGCCATATTTTCCATATAGAGCTCTTCTGGTTTGGCAGATTCTCTCTGCAATAACTTCTGAATTTCTATGTGATCTTCTATCAGCAGTTGAGATTCAAAGATTCAGAGTCCTCTGGAACCTGATGAATGCAATTTTGTTTCCAGAAGAGAGTCTTTTTCACTTTTTAGCATGGCCAATATTTTGACTTAGTTAAATTTTAATTAATACATTATAAGGCTCAGATAATTCCTGTCCATCACATTTATTGATTTTATCTGAATACTTTGTCTACTGTCTCTCTAGTTTGTACAAAATTCCCCCCCACACACACACATTAATCATGTTGAGAAATCCCTGGAAACTTCCTGATAGTTTCTTTAGAAACTGTGAACTCAAAATACACAGAAAAGATGTAACATAACGTAAAATAACAAGAATTGTTAAAATTTCAAATCACCACTTAGGTTGCATGATTATTTGGTGCTGTTGGTTGGTCAAGTACTCATAGAAGATTTGCTGATTGATATATATATGTTTACTTTTGCATTTAATTTAGTCAGATTTTGTTTGTATTATGTAGCATGAATATTTAACATGTAGATATGGGAAAGTTAAAGAATAAAACAAATTGTATACAATGTTATAATGAGAAATACATGTGTTTATTTGATATTTGTACTTCTTATCCTTTTTATTACAAAACTATGTGCGTACAAATAGCAAAATTTTCATGAGGTATTCTAATATTTTTATAATATATGATATATTATTGTTACTTTTTCATGCCAATATATAATCTACCAAAAGAAATTCATAATTTGGATCTTAATTGACTTATGTTTAAAATGTGGAAAATTATGGAGTTTTTAAACCACATCAAACAGTTATCTGCAAGTGTTTTAATGCTCAAAAATATAAATGTAAAGTGCCAAATTTCAATCACTGAATGCCAACATACATACTGTGTATTTATTGTTCACTCTACATAAATCCATCACTGTAGCCTTTAACAGAAATAGAGAAAATATAAAGGAAATTAAAGCTAAAAAAATCTATTTCAGTAATATTTTTCTGAATAATTTATTTTGTTAATTAAACAACCTGATATTTACTAACAATTGCTCAAAGTAGACTGAAGCAAAAGAAAAACTTTTTAACTACATTTTTATACTCTCTGTATATAAGATTAATAGGTATAATAAAATATTTATTGCTTTTTTCAATTTACCTAAACCTTTCTTAACTATATAATAAATGTCTGTTTTTACCAAATACTCTAATATACTTACCTTGACTTTGTTTTAATTAGAAAATATTCTATATAATTTTCTGGTTACATTTCATGATAATTTCATAGGAATTTCTATTTAATAAATGCAAACACAGTAATGTATTGGTTGGATTTTACAGTAAAACTAACTGCTGTATTACCTATTCATATTTAGTATAAAGGAATAATTTATTTCATTTCTTCTTGTCTAACATTTATAACACTATTGCAAGTAGCTTAAAAATTTTAGTACCCAAATACTTTTGTAAGTTTGAGGTAGACTCTTATTAACAAAGTGGCTTTTATTTGTTTTTAATTTCTATAGTGCTAGAAATCAAATCCAGGATTTTGGGCATGCTGGGCAAGTGTTTACCATTAAGGCATATTTCCAACCTTATCAAATTAATTTTATCTTACTGTTAATTTTGATCTAAATTTATTATAGTTTAAATTAAGTATCTTAGATTAAAGTATTTTAAATAAACTTCAACAATCACTGATATATATATATATATATATATATATATATCTTTATTCCTTCTGTACTTAATTTTTCTTCTAAAAATGAGATAAATCTTACCTTCAGTGACAAAATTAAGCATCAACTACAAATTTTTCCTGGGTCTCATTTTAGAAAATAAAGCAATCTAGCTCATCTGAATGCAGTACAGTTGATATTGCTACCTCTGAAGAAGAAATGGTCAATGAACATGAAAGGTTAAAGCATCTAATAACTGGTAAGAAAAGTTTCCTTGGTAATTGTATTGAAATTATACTAAATTCTTAACCTAAACAATACTATTGGATTTATGTTTAATCTTAATGTGTTTATTTGTTTAGCAAAGAGATATGCACAACTTGTGTGGGGCACGTGCACATGCCCACCCATATCCTAGTAGACACTTGTATTAAATGTCAAGAAAAAAAGTCAAAATTGGGAAACAGAGGAAGAGGCCTGTTTCCTAGAGTGTCTAATGTAATAGTTGCCAAGTTAGAATCTGGAATAATTTACTCTCTTGTTTGATTATTTCCAAAAGTGCAAAAACAATAAATAGCCTGGAATTCCACAAAAGATTAAATTAGCATATGTGTGTAGGTTCGTGTGTAGATACGTGTATGGACAATCTATGAAAAGAGAGAATGCTATGAAAGCGAGAGAATGCTGCTTCCTCAACAAAGCAGCATTCAGTAATAAGATCATCTGCCTCATCATCCTACATCATTGCTGTATGTAGCTGACAGAGATATCAGAAAATAACTATAGGTAGTGATCTACAATTAGACCATTGTTGATCATGTTGATTTCAAAATGTATTTTATGGTATAAAAAAGTGGGTAAATATACACTTCATAATTAATTTTATACTAGTAATATAATTTTGTGCATTAAAATAGAGCATGATGTTGTAGCCTCATGAATTGAGGTTAATATTTAAAGTGTTGATTCTGAAAGGCATCATATACCTTTCTTAGGAAAACACATCATAATAGCAAAATATTTATATATTTCATATGCATATCAAAATACAATATATGGCCTTAGCATTTGACACACTAGATATGTACCACACACCTTTGAAAGAATTAGTTTCCAAGTAAAATTTAAAAATTAATGCAAGGTTAGGCATTTTTTGATTTGGCATCAAGAATCCCACTCAGGACCTTGCACTTACCAAGCAGGTGCTTGTAAGTTTAGACATCTAAAATTCCTGTAAAGTCATCAAAATGGTAACTTCTAAGTTTTCCATTTCCTGCTTTCAAAGTAAGAATCTGTGATCAGAAGTTTGAAGTCTAGAATAAGCATCATCAATGGCAAAGGAACAAAAGTATTGCATATTTTTTTAAATGGAGGTGCGTAATTCGACACTAAAAAAACACCAAAATGAAAGTTTTTAATCTAAAATACATACACACATCCATTTCTTCACTTTCTGCTGTTAATAGCTCCCTTATCTAGACTCACATTTTCTTTTACTAACTCTTTGAACCAAAACGCAGAGTTCGATTGCATAAATACCACCTTGACCCACAAAGTATTTCAGCATTCATGTTACTCCCTAAAAGTGTCCCACTCAAATTTCCTATTTCCATGTCACTTAAAAACTATAAATCAAAGAAACATGTTTTAATATTTTTACCTCTTAACATCTTGCAAGCATTTAGTTTTTAAATACAAATTGTTATAATGCCAAATGAATTATGAGAGAGTGAATTTTCAGGGATTATATCAAAATGAAACACTCAAAAGATTTATATGCTTGTACTTTTTTTAGTAGATAAAAGAGTTAGTTCTATTCTCAGACTATTTTGCAGATGAAGGGGATATCATTCATGCCATTTTCAATTTAGTTTTCACTATTACTGTCAACCCACAAGTCGAAGTTTCTCTCCTAGGTCACTATAGTCACTAAAGCAGAGGTAAAATCAAATGTTAGAAATCAGAGACCACTTACAATAGAATCTATAAATAGACAAGTTCCAAAACATAACTCCTAAGTCATATTTCGATGGTGAGAAGTTTGAGGTGTTTATGTTTCATGAGTATTCTAGATTTTTGTCCTTAATTGTTTTCATTCTTGGCAGATCGTAGGAGATCTTCACCTAGTCAAATAAGTAAAGAATATAAAAAAAAGAAAATTTGGCAGAATATAAGGAAAACTTGCTGCAAAATAGTGGAGAACAGTTGGTTTAAGTGTTTCATTGGCCTTGTCACTCTGCTCAGCACCGGAGCTCTGGTAAGTGAGCTGTCGGCAGGAGTAGTGCTTTGACAGGTACAACTGGGTCATAAGTCTATAATGCAGAAACCTACCCTGCCCGATCACTTTCACATAATAATTAGTATGGCATCAGATATCATGGTCTATGGTTTTAGCTTTCGGATTTCTATGGTATACTTTCTTAGAAAGCCTGTATATATATATATATATATTACGTAATGATATATATATATAATACGTAATGATATATATATATCATTACGTATTAAATGTAATGTTAATATTAAATTAAGAATACAGAAATATATAGCTTAAAAATAAACATTATGAGAAATAGAATTCAAATAGATACCTGATTATTCTGATTTCAATGAAGTTTCATTGATAAAACAGTTTAATGACGTACATGCAAAATTTCTATATTGTGCCAGTACTCTGTGGTCTATTCAGTAAGAAAAGGTAGCTATTATGTGTATTTTTTTTAATTTTATTTAAGGAGAAAAAGAAAAAAAAAACAGAAAAAGGGTACAAGTTATACAGAATTTCAGGAAAAATAAACAGTAGGAAATCACTAGTTAATAGATTACATATTGTCATCTTAGAAATAGTTGTTCAAGTCACAAAATTAAAGCATATAAAGTGGACATTCAAACAGTGACACTGCAAACAATTCTGTTCAATGATCCAACAAAACTCAGTAACATAGTTATCTATCTTATACACTTAAATATACATGCAGTTATATCCTTTAGAGCACTTTCTTTTCCTCTCTTTTGTACAATGACAATTACACAATTTGGGTTTTATTATTCCCACAGTTCTTACTACTTTTTTTGCAGAGAATAAAATCAAATGTGACGTAACAAAACAGAGTCAATCAAATCAAAAGGATGGACATAATATATAATGTAAAAACAAAATATAGGCGATCAACAATGGTTACCATAATGCCTCTTGCTATCTTAAAAAGACTTGCCTAAATCATCAGTTATAATAAAATTGAACAAAACAGTAAAGCACAAAACCAATAAAACCAAAACATTGGAGACATTCAAAAGAAGATAATAGTCAAACCAAAATGGATGTCAGAGTGAATCTTATTGTTTTCACATTTGTTGCCTATACTCTCGAACTTGGTGCTATCAAGAAAAACAGAATAGAGGAAAATCAGTCAAAACAAGATGATCAGAGCAATACAGGGTTTCAAATCAAGTTAATAGGAAATCAAAGTGGGTTACTATAATATATCCTGCTATTTTTTATTTATTTTCCCTTAATTAAAAAGATAAAAATAAAAAAGGAGATTGAGATAAAAGCGGACATAACAACAAAACAGCACAGGTCAAAACATAACCATTTAAGCAAAATAGTGTTTCACCACAAGATATCCCGACATAAAAGTAGTTACCATAGTGTCTCTTTCCTTGAATTCTTTGAGTATAACTTCGTATACTGTAGCATCAAACATAGCAAGACAATGTAAAACCATTCAAGAGAATGGTAATATTACAGGGTATTTAGAATCAACTAACAGAAAATGAACAATGGTTTCTGTACAATCTCCTTGTCTATAAAAGTTTTTGTTTATATTATCACATATAATAAAATCCAATAAGATACAACATGTTAAGACTGATGGAGACAGAACAAAAGCTTGATGGGACTTCAAAACAAGATGATATTAAATTAGCACTAGCTATTATGATGTCTTGTTTTCTCCAAAATAGCTGTTCCTACCATCCAACCTTCTCTGCCTCATTTGTGTTGAGCTCTTTTTCTGTCATTAGTTGTCAGTTTGTCTTCTTCATTTCGCTTTCTGCTCCATTCATTGTGGCCTCTCTGCCATTGTTTCTGGAATTTTGGTATTTTTTTTTTTTTAGAATGTCCTGCAGTATTCTCTGTAGAATTGAATTGGTAGTTGCAAATTCCCCTAGTTCCTCTTTATCCTGGAAACACCTTGTTTTTCCATCAATTTCTAGGGACAGTTGTGCAGGTTATATCAATCTTGGCTGGAGGTTATTATCTTTCAAAGCTTGAATTATTCCCCTCCCCCCCATGCTCTTCGTGATTTGATGATTTGTGCCAACAAGTCTGCTGTAATTCTGATGGGTGTCCCCTTGTAAGTGATCTGTTTCTTGTCTCTGATGGCTTTTAATATTCTATTCTTATAATGAATTTCTGGAATTTTGATTATTATATGCCTGGGTGTAGTTCTGTTTGGGTTATAGGTGTCTGGGGTCCTGTATGCCTCATACATCTGAGTATCTTTACCTTTTGCTAAGTTAGGGAAATTCTCCTGGATTATTTCTGTGAATAGCCTTTCTGTGAATAGTTCATTTGTTTGTGTCCCTACTTCTTGTTTTACATTCTTAATTCTTAAGTTATAGATCCTCTTATCATCTTCTAGCCTTTGTATTGTTTGTTTGTTTCCTTGTTATTTTTAAGAAATTTTTACTTTCATGTTTCCACATTACAAATCTGTCCTCCAGTTCACATAATCTATCCTTAGTTTCTTTCAAGCTATTATGCCAGCTTTCAATAGAGTTTTTAGTTTCCTGGTAATCTCTTTGAACCTGCTTCACGTATTCTATGTTTTCTCTATTTTCTCCATCAAACAATTCTCCCCTTTTTTTCTGTCCTTCCATTCTACCATCTGTTTTTTTCTTAGGCAGTGCTTAGCATTTCTCTAACTATTCTACTTATATCTCACTTTACTTCATTAAATACTTCACTTTTGAACTCGTCTATGAGGCTCCAAAGATATCATTTTATGTCTATTGGTGCTGTGTCTGATATTGCATGTTTTCTGTCTGTAGTCTCCTTTTCATTTACCTTTCCTGGATCATTGTTCTCAGGATTGGGGGCTGAGTACCCTTTCTTGTTGCCTCCTCTTCTCATATTTTTTGTTCCTTCCATACAGGCGTATATATGAGGCCCAGTTTCTTTCTTTGTCAGTTACACTTTGTTTGAATCATGCTGGCTAGATATTCCCTCCCCCTGCAGTGTACTATGGAGACACAGACCTAGACAGCCTCTGCTGGGCCTGCCCCTCCAGGTCAACCTACTGAAGGTTCACTGCTAGGGGGTACCGCCAGGTGCTGGGACCTGGTTTGGGCTAGCCTACTGGGTCTTAGTCCGTGGCATCACCCAGGCCAAGCACTCCCCACCAATCCCACTTGAGAGGGGAATATACAACTAAGGCGTTCTGTTCTGTTCTGTTCTGTTCTGTTCTGTTCTGTTCTGTTCTGACTAGTCTGCCCAGTCCCAGAACACCCTCTGTTGGAGCCTCCTTGTCTATGGAAGGGTCCCCGTTCCTCTCACTCACTGCTGGTTGACGCAGGGCTTCCCGCCAGTCCCTCTCTCAACTCTGTTTGCCGATTCCCACTCAGAGCTTTCGCATCTCTGTCCCTTCTGAAGTGATTCAGACACAGCAGTGGCAGCAGGAAATTCAAATCGTGGTTTCCAGAGCTGCAGGTTCCAGCTTCGGCGCTGAGATTTTGTCTGTTCCGGTTGTAGCACCGGGATTGCATTTCCAGCTTAGTTTGTTCCTGGGTCAGCAAGGTATATCTTCCCTTGTTTAGGACTCCTCACACCACACCGTTCCTGGATTCTAAGCTGGCTATCTCAGAGAGCCTCCATAGCTGCTGTATCTATCTGCCATGTTCTCCCGGAAGTCCATATTATGTGTCTTTTTTTACACAGACACTTTAAGCAGGATTATTCATGATGCAAAAATATAGAGAACAACGTAAATATCATTCCATGAGTGACTAAGGGGAGTACAGTCCTATTCTAGAATAAACTTAATAATAATAAAGAATGAGCTAGATAGACACAGTGACCTAAAGAGATCTAAATTCACTATGATACATGGAAAAAATTACAGATCTTTGTTTCCTGTAAGTGTTTCAAATATTTTGCAATATATAGCTATTTATTAAAATTCCTTGCTTTACAACTTATATAACTATTTAGAAAAAAATTTTAAAATAACAACATTTTAGAGACTGACAATATATTAGTCATTGTCAGAATAAGTAACCAGTGTGGTAGGTGCAAAAATAAATCAAATTAGTAAGAGAAATGGATTCTCTTACAATTAGAGATTTAAAATTTGACTGTACAGTTATCTTGTGCCTCTATACTTAGAATAAAAGAACATAAAATCACGTAAACAGATATCAGTAAAAGTTTTTCTAAATAAAACTGAAGATCTTATTAAGTGTTCATAAGCTACCAATGCATTTATCCCTAAACACAGCAATTCTAATTCTGTAAGAATATACTACAGATATCCTAACATAGATTAATTGTGTTTACAAGGTTATTCTATGAGGTTATCTATTTCAACAACAAAGATTAGGTGAGATGAGTAAGACTTCATGACAGGTGAATGTTAAAATGTGCTAGACTACAATCACTCAGTGAAATACTGCTATATTTTAAAAACATAGCAGCTGATGTCTGACTGATATCACAATGCCTTCAGATATAGCAGAGTGAAAAAAGAAGCATGTAGGATGATACCCTCCCTTTCACATAGGTAAGCAGGAAAACTGGAATGACTAGTAAATTTGTGTACATTTGATTAAAGATCAGAAAAGGATACACAAGAACCAGTTATCATGAGATACAGAATAGAGATGATAAAGTCATGGTTAGGAGCCACACTGTACTGTATGTGAAGCATTTTTTTAAATGACCATTCTCATACATAGAGAAGACATCATGTCCAGTGTGAGAGATGTTTACAAAGTCAAGACACTTGTGTAACTACCACTTGGATTGTTAAACAGAACATGGACAGAACTCCAGAACCATATTCTAGGCCTTCAGAGGTCCTTCCCCACTACCCATGGAAAGCCATTATTTATACTTCAGCAGTCGTAGATAAGTTTCATTCATGTTTTATTTGTTGTTTCTCCCTTCTCTCATTTTGATGCAACATCTTATTTTCTCATGATGACAAAACTCAATTTTCTTTGTTATTTGATAACAGCTTTCTTTTCCTATCAGTGTACTGGCATAAGAGGTTGAAAATTGATTTTTAAAAACATATTGGTTTTGATCCTAGTGAAAATATGCTGCATCTACTAAAATACTATTTTAGGTGCATCTGAATCCATATTTCCTAGATTTTAGCGAATGGGAAGCACAAATACCCAAAATCAGGTTATCATATATTCCAAAGAAATTCTTTCTTCATTATAGATTCTTCCAGAAGCATGCTATATTTATATGGGCTGAAATGCAAGGGTGATTTGTAATGTAACCAAAAGCTTTTGGGACATTTTCTTCTACCAGGCTTAACAGAAAAAAAACAGTTCTCTGTATTACTTTATAAATATGCCAGATTATCATTCTCAAGTTTGAAATTTTGTCTTCAAACCTGAAAAGGCTAAGAATTATCTGCCTGTCTCTTCTGTCTGTCTCTCTCTCTCTCTCTCTCTCTCTCTCTCTCTCTCTCTCTCTCTCTACCTTTTTTCTTGGTGGCAGAAAGTCCATGAGTGCCTCCAAAGCATCTTGAAAACTTACTTCTTGTTCAAAGAGTCTGATTCACATGCTGTGGTTACCTTATGAAGAGAGTTGACTCTCTTTACTATTGGTAAACAGAAATAGAGATGGAGGTAGTTTCTAAAGAGATGTTTAACACATCTTCTTAATTGAAGGCTTCTACATGGCCCTCAACCAACACCAGATTCAGTATGATCATCCACAGAATCTCTGGAGCCCAGGCTGCACCAACAGAATTCTAGCCTGCAGGACTGTGTTGTGTCCCTATGTCAATCACTGACTGAAAGGTTTGCTCCTAGGAATGGAAATCTTGCCTCATGAGTAAAATGCTTCTTTCTGAGCAGAGGCATTTCTACAAAGAATGACTGAATTGTGTATTATCAGACAACACTCACAGTCACTGAGGAATGGATAGATTTTCCTAGTCTTGGGAAATCGACTGAAGTACTTGATATGTTCTTAAAAACTGTATGTCTTTTTTTTTTCATTAGACACAATCATGTTATTTGTTGTTCTATTAAGGACACATGGTATATCCTTAGTGACACAGTAAAAATTGTTTTGTCTGTCATGTCATTGCTATTTTCAAAAGTATAAAATTATCATACTATGACTCAACTTTCTGTATCTCCCTTTCATTTCATTAATTTTTAGAATATTTTGATGCTTTGTTATTTTGTACATACAGAGTTGTGCTAGTGATCTCAAACTGTTTCTGATTATGGAATAAATGGAACTCATATATATATATATATATATATATATATATAGAGAGAGAGAGAGAGAGAGAGAGAGTTTACTTTGAAACAGAATTTAATTTTTTCTATGTAAAAGAAATTTTTCAAAATTGCATGTATGCTTATTCTTAAATTATTTGCCTCCAGGCTTTTGAAGATATATATATTGACCAACGAAAGACTATTAAAATCTTATTAGAATATGCTGACATGATCTTCACTTACATCTTCATTCTGGAAATGCTTCTGAAGTGGATGGCATATGGCTTTAAAGCTTATTTCTGTAATGCCTGGCACAGGCTGGACTTCATCGTTGTTATTGTATGTACTTTAAAGAAAAATAATCTACTTTGATATACTCTAAATTTTTGGCTTACTTATATCTTCCTTTGTCGCTTTGTATAGTTTTTTTAGTCATCAGTATCCATCTTTTTTCATGTGAAATGTTTAACATCTATGGTTATCTTATACTCAAATTTTAGAGGCTTTTCCCTGTGCCCTTGAATTACTGTAAAGTCACCGCTAAATCCATTGTTAATAGAGTAGGTTGGTTGCACGATATCTTGAAAATATCAGTATCCTATATTCTTTCAATTCTATTGACTTAAATTTCAAATTTGAAATTTATCATAAACTTCATAATATCCAATTCATTAAAGTTTCTCATTTATTATTCTTAGTGCAGTAGATTCTCAATTGGTCCCCCTGCTTCAGTTTCTGTATCCCTTTGTTCTGTGTTCCACAACACAAGTAGAGTAAAGTGCATGTCAGCCCTCTCCCCTTCTTTCTTTGGAACCCTCTATTAAATTCTCCAGTTTACTCAGTGAAGGCTGGAGTCTTCACAATTAGACACCTAAACACCTGCAGTTTTCATCATGATCTAGCCTTACCTCCTATTATTTCAATTTTCCCCTGCCATGCCTATATGTATACTGGTCCGCCAGTACTGACCTTCTTGAAGCACCTTAAACAAGCCAAGGGCACTTTCATCTGGTGCCTTGGCACTTAAAGACCTTCCTTGTGCTCAGTGGTGCTGTTGTCACTGAGCTGTATCCCCTGTCTATCATATATTCTTTATCACCATAAAAGACTAAAAAATAGCTTTTTAAGTGATTTTAACACAAAATGATTTATTAAGGCATACTGAAATATGTATCAAATACTTGAAATATTTATTTGTAGTTTTGATTGTTTTTAAAAATAATTGCAAACTGTATTTTGTATATAATTTCCATTAAGATGATCATATTAACTTTTCTTTAAAAATATATGTACAGGTGTTTTGTCTTAGCCTAATAGGTAAAACTAGAGAAGATCTAAAGCCACTCACTTCTATTAAATTCCTTCGGGCAATCAGAGTTCTGTCTCAATTTGAAAGAATGAAGGTAAGACAAAGTTTCTAAATAAATCTATGTATTTTTTTAATTATTAAATTTCTGTGAACTAGCAATCTTGACTGTCTTTGCATTCCTACCTTCAACAATATTAGTACAACAAAAACCTTAAACACTTTTTTTATTTTAAAGAGGATAAAACCAAGGAAAATAAAACCCAATAAAATCAATCATAAAAAACTAGTATAAATGATACAGGGCTTCAAAACCTTACAAAATCAACAGTAGTTACCATAATGCCTTTTGCTGAAGATACCTTTGGACATAGTAAAAATTAAACAGATCAGAATAGAATAGAAGCAATAAAAACAAAACAATGAATGCAAGAAAAGACTTTAAAATGAGCTAATAGTAAATCCAAAGTGGCTACCATAATATGTCTTGCTATCTTTCAAATAGCCTCTCATGCCCTCTTAATCAACCAAAACAAAAGAGAATAAAACCAAACCAAGAAAACAATGAAAGTGATACGGTATCCAGGTGGATGTCACCTCCTTGTGAGCCCTGGTTCTCTCCTTCTGTAGTCCTCGAATAGCACTGACTCACAGAGAGAGGCTTGGGTGTGGCTGCCCCAACTTTGGCAGCAGCCCATGTATGGCGCTGTTTCCAGGTGGGGATCACCTGGTTATGAGGCCAGGATCTCTCCAAAAACTTCATATTCTGCATAAAAGTGGATATGAATGGGTATGTTAGGCTGCTTACGTTTTAGATCCTCATTGCACAGAAGATATGAAAATGAATAAAGATAATCCAAAAGAAGATAATAAGAAAGGAAATATAATTTGAAAAATAGTATATTTCTAACCTACCTCTATATGATGAAATCTTTCTTTAAAAAAGATAACTACTGGAAAATGAATTTTTCATCAAATAAGAACTTTTAAAATTTGCAATAACATTTTACACACTACATATCTATTTACTGACAAAAGCAATGTTTGGATTTTAAAATAAATTTACTTTTTCTAAAGTCCCACATCACACATTGTGTGTCTTTCTCCTTTCCCTTAATTTCACTACAGTTTTTTCTGATCAATATGAAGAAATAAGTTCTAGCCACATAAAGTAACCATTGTTCAAACTTTTGAGCCTATAACGGAAGTACCATATGATTCAGTAGAAGAAAAATAGTCTATGATTACACAAGTAGTATAAGTACTTTTTATAGTTATACACTGACAATTATATGCAGAAATTGAAGAAAAGTCTAATTGTACCTTTTTTCATAATCATACATTTTTATAGTTTACATAAATCAGTTAGCATAATCTTACCCTTTAGTCAGCATTATGGAAAGACTGAATAAGGAAACTATTTATTTTATGCTGTAATATCTGTATAATTTATAAATTTGAGATACCACATTTAGATACCATTCATTAAGAAGCTGTAGCTTTTAAATCCCACTTGGTGAAAATACTTTTTTAATCCCAAAATTTGACTGATTCTTATAAATTTAAACTTTAAATTGCTTAAAATATTTTAATGAAATAGTAGAAATAGAAAAATTAAAGTAGTACCACCTTTAAATCATATGCATATACATGTACACTTATATAAAAACATGTTCACATAGGTACATTAATTGTATGTGTATTTTAAAATATATTACACAAAGTATGCAAGCACATTTACTGACTATATAGTTGATATTTTTGTAGTTCATGTGACTTTGATCTGGTTCATTATAACAGAATTATAATAGAACGATCAATCTATTCCTCAGATGCATTTGATTTACTGGATTTGAAGAAGAAATATCATCATTACTATGGTGTAACCATACTAAGACTCCACTGTGATAAACATAGAAAACAAAAGAAAAATCTAAAAGAATGATCATAATTTACACTATAATTTCTAAAACAGATTTTACTAACACATCACATTCAAATTGCATTAACATTCACCAATGCTTTTTAAACAAAATAAATTGAAAAATCAGCTGCAAAAGAAAAAATCACTGGCAAAAATTCTCAGATTGTAAATGAAGACAAAAAAAAACCTTAATTTCTGGCAAAAATATAGTTTATGTAAAAGAAACTTTTTAGAATAGCCTATGACTGAAAACTACAGAAAATGTTTTGGCTCAGAACATACACATACCCCTACATACCTCCAACACACAATCTAAGTGTAGCTAAATAAATTATTCTAGCAAATAGTATGATTCTTTATATTTTTTCCTAATAAATTTGATATGCAGGAAAAAGAGAGTTAAGTTCACCAAGTTGTACCCGTTAAAGAAAAGCTTCCCTCTATATCATTTGATGGTTTACTTTCATTAGAAAGACAATGAGATACTGTTCATAAACTCAAGGTCAGCAAAACAGTAATCATAGTCAAGTACACACCAAAAATCTCATGTAAACCTCTGAAAAGCTGTGGTTAAATTATTTTTGCTGATGTATCATTAAGGTACATGTATACAAAAATACAAGTTTTGTATACTTAACAAATCTTAGCTGTTCTTTACTACATGAACATTTATGTCAACCATTCTCACTTTGTTTTGGGTTTTTTTTTTTAACTTTTTTGTTTTGTTTTTGTTTTTGTACCAAGGACCAAACTCACGACCTTGTACTTGCCAGGCAGGCGCTTGTGCCACTGAGCTAAACCCTCGGCCCTTCCATTCTCACTTTGATGTGATCACATAGATAGTTTTTTTTTTTTAATAGAGTTGCAGCTTTTTTCAGCAGCAGAAAAATCAGTGAGCCTCTCAAGACATATGAAGTATCAACAAAAGACCTGTGACCTCAGTTTAAAAATACGACAAAGTAATTGAAAGAAGAATTGAAAGTACAAGTATTCACTCAGGGACAGAAAATTATGTCATATAAACAAGAAAGTACACGCAAAACATAATTAAAAATAGTTGAAGAAAAAATTATAGAAAAGAAAATCAATGATATTTCTGGGGGGAAAAAGGAAGTAAAATGTATACACAGTGGCAAAGATACAGCAGGTATTGAGAAAAACTCTCTTGGTGAGATCAAGTAGTTTCTTTGCCACAACAGCTTCAGCAGAGCAACAAGAGTATAAAGTCCGATGTTAGTGTTGGGAGTTAAAGAAATGATTATAGCTTGTTGCTGGTGTTCCAGTTTAGGTGGTGGATTCAGCTTCCAAATGTCTCACTCTGGAATTACAGAGGCAAATTACAGTGGCAAAAGCAAACAAACCATAATGTAACATTAAATAATAGAGCAGAACAAAACATAACACAAACCACCGCTCAGTGTATAGGTTAGAGGCTTCATTAGTGGTACAAGCTCGTGGTCTTCTATTTTTCAGAACACTTCTTCCTTTCTTCCTTTACATGTTTGTTCTTCCTAAGTCTGGATTCAAAGCTGTTCTTGGCCCTGCCCCTCTTATTTTATGTCTTTTCTAGATAATGTCACACACAACACACACATGAGGGCATGTACATTATTTTCACCATTACTGGCATAATACAGAAACTCAGTAAACAAATAAATCAGTGAATTAAAAGTTTATTATAGTATTTCTATTAATGAGCTTTGGAGCTTCTCAAAGATTTTTAGAACAAAGATTTTGAAAGTACCTCGAGTTCAATGTGTGTTTTTATTGATAAAAATTGAATTATTTAGGTTATTCCAATACCGTCATGTGAGCTATCAAATCTTTGTATGCGACATTTTTATTTTTCAATATGCCATTATGTCAAGTAGTATTTTCAGTTTTGTCAGAATTAAAATAGTTTTACATTTCTTAATCTAATGTTTGCATATTCATTTTTTTGTATGGCAGGTGGTTGTGAGAACTTTGATAAAAACAACTCTACCCACTTTGAATGTGTTTCTGGTCTGCTTTATGATTTGGCTGACTTTTAGTATCATGGGAGTCCACTTATTTGCTGGCAAGTTCTATGCCTGCACTGACCAACCAAATGGAGAAAAGCTTCCAGTGTCTGAAGTATTGAATAGAAGTCAGTGTGAAAGCCATCTCTATAATGAATCCTTGTCATGGGAGAATGCACAATTGAACTTCGACAATGTTGGAAATGGTTTGCTTTCTTTGCTTCAAGTAGTAAGTATATTTTTTGAAGTTTTTTTAAATCAATTATATGTTCATTCATATTGTAGGTTGAATATAAAGGACATAGTATAGATGATTCACATATTTGATTGTAATGTATTTTAGCAGTTATTAATTAATAGATAATTGCTGTTGGACATACTGTATTAGGCATTTTGGGGAGACATAAGTGAAACACAGTCCCTGTCCTGTGGAGACAAAGGCAACGTAACTGAGGAAAAGATAAGCTCTAGCCAAACCTGCCTCTGCAACTACTGATCAAGTAGTAGGAACGTAATTCATTGGTCCAAAATGGATTACTGCTCTTTTTATCAATCTGATTCTTTGAGTTATGTCCATTTAGTGGCCCAATATCAAAGATACGAAGAGATGAGACAGTCCTGTTTTACTGATTCCACAGAAAAATACATATGAATGGTTACAAATAACCAACAGACAGAAGCATGTACTTATTTATCTATTTTCTTCATTCTTTTTCTATTTAACTGTTTTAAAATATTGTGTTATTAGTTAATAGTAAAATAATTAACATTATATAAAAAGGAACATACTAAATACCTCAATTACACAGTAGACTACATTTTGTAAGTCTTGATATCAAATGTTTTAGAGTATTAAAAACAAATTGAATTATGTTTTTGTCACAGAAATATATTTTCACAAAGTTAAGCATATCTTAATTTTTATAGGCAACATTTAATGGATGGATCGATATTGTATACTCAGCCATTGATTCTTTGGATGTAAGTACCATGTAGTCTTAAAAAAATATTGTTAAGAGACAAGCAAAATAATTTTTGCAATTCAAATATAGAACATAAGTGGTATTTATAGAAATTAAATACATCTCAGATTGGATATTTCATTGGCAATGAAATCTTTGCAGGAAGATATACAATGATTAAAACATAATGAGTACAAGTAAAGGATTATCATTTTTATAACAAAAAAGTAAACCAATGAAATAAAGTTTAATTTAAACACAAGAAATGATAGTCATTCACCAAAGAACAGAGAAAAAAATTAGTTTAAGTAGAACCTTTGGTTTTCTGTTTAAACTTTCTTTTCAAAAGTCATATATTAATCTTTTATTAATTAGAGATTATTAGTTTTATAGAAGAGTAGATTTGCTCAGGTGATCCATACTTGCATGCCATATACTCTGATAATCATATCTTCTTGCCATAAAATGTTTTATTATATAAATCTTATGTTTTAAAAAGTTGTGGTTAATAATTAATTGTGATTAATTATTTTTAAATTCATTTTTAGGTAGACATGCAGCCTAGTTTTGAAAGCAACCTCTATATGTATTGTTATTTTATCGCCTTTGTTATCCTTGGATTATTTCTCCCTTTGAGTATGTTGATTGGTGTTATTATTACGAATTTCAACAAGCATAAAATAAAGATAAGTATAAATATCCTTTGTTCATAAATGCCTGAAAAAATCTGACACATTTATATAAATTCACAATTCCAAATAATTGGTTTAGAATTTATCTCAGTGTCATTGTTCTGACATATGAAACACAATAGTTGTCACTCTTCTTGCATATGGTAGAATACTGCTAATCTATTCATTTGCATATTGCTTTCAGTGTCAAAAGTAAGCACAGTATAGTTCCAATGTTAAAACATAGCTGTGTTTCTGTATGTAAATTTTATAAATAATTATATGATTAAAGGAAGTACCATTATTGTCTATCTGCACAAATATGTGAAGACCTGTGGAAAGACAATGTACTTTTACTCTGATACATTCACAGCCTTCATAATCATAACTAGCATGCCATATTTCTACTTTTGGTACTTCTTTCTGCATGAAGTAGAGTCATAAATATCAAATAGGAATGGTTGGACTCACTGTTATGGAATTTAGAGGCTCATAGAGACTCTTAAATAACTACAACTTGGTACCATTTTTGTGTATTTAGTACCATACAAATACAAAAATGTGTTTGTATACATTTTTAACTCCTGGGGCTTCCACAAATGCAAAGAAAAGGAAGTTTAGATGTACCTTCCAAAAAAACTCAAAGAAAATACTAATTGTGAAGTTCCATCTGCAACTATCATTAAATGTTATCTACATGTAAAAAATATTGTATAATTCAAGGGTCTACTAATCCAGTGGGAAGTGGCAAAGTGATTTCCTATGGTTTTAATTGAATGCTTCAGCTTCTGAGTAGGTCACCCCAATGTGACATCTAGGCTTAGTTCTGGGCTTCACATCAGTGATTCCTGTCAGCTTTAAGTGATTGGATTTTAATTTAAGCATCAACAATTCCTAATTCTTAGCTTAACATATCATTATTACTTTATATATTTTGTACAATATATTAAAATTAGCACTAGAAATACAACATATAATGAATTCCAGAAGGTGCAAACTGAAGGTACTTATGGAATAATAAAAATATCTTCTTACAGTGTTTGTCAAGTAAATCAGTATATGAACAAATAGAAAAATATATGTTTTGCTGAAAAAGATTGAACATTTCAGTAATCCCTAGAATTTAGGAGGCTGAGGTTGGAGAGTTACAAGATTGATTTTAGTCTGGACAACTGACTTAGCAAGATCCTGTCTAGGAACGTAGTTCACCTCAAAGGATCTTGGTTCAATTCTTCCTACTGCAAAAACACACAAAATATTTAACAATTCTATTTGTTCATGTTTATTAAAGGGCACAAATAAATGTAACCTTTGTCTATGGAGTTCATTTCTTTTCTGTTAACTTTTCAGATATCTCCTATTATTTGTTTTTCTCTTTAAGAGAAGTAAATTTTCAGTAGACTAAATCATATAATTAGGCTTGACAACATACAGGAAAGTACATGAAAATATTGTTGAACTGCACGTATTACCTGTTCGTATTCCATGTTTGTTTTATATGCAGCTTTGTGCAGAGCATCAGTCATGATCCAACACGATGTAGATCATTGCAATTAAAGCTTCTGAAAAGAATTATATAAATAACTTCTTTTCTAATATAATTTGCATTATATTAACGCATATTAATATAAAGGAAAATTTGAATTAAATGTGATTTTAATGTCTTTTTCTTTTATTTCTCTACCAGGGAGGCTCCAACATGTTCATAACTGCTAAGCAAAAGAAACAATATCGTTGGCTGAAGAGACTGATGTATGACGACTCTCCAAAACCAATACCTCGTCCAGGAGTAAGAAAACATATAAATTTTTTAAAGCTTTAATAAGCTTTTATTTACTTTACAAAGAAAACTTTAAGATATATTAAATGCTTTTGATATTTATTAAATATACTCCTTGAGAAATAGTTTAATGGTCATTTTTTGCTTATGTGTTCTTTCATGGTACAATTATTAAAATACATTATTATTCAAACTAATGGGATTCTTTGTAATATTTCCACACATGCATATCTTGTGTAATACTGGTGTCTGTCTACCTTTGCTTTGACAACATGCTGTGGGTTTATTTGGGTAAAAACTTAGATCCTCATTTATATTCATCTTAGGGGAAGTTACAGACTCTGATGACTGAATGTATGCAAGTATGTCCCATTAATAACGCTGCTGCACTGGTTTTCTTTACCCACAGAATAAGTTGCAAGGCTTCATTTTTGACTTGGTAACAAGCCGAGTTTTTAATGTCATCATCATGGTTCTTATCTGTCTCCAAGCAATAATCATAATGATGGAAAGTGATGAGCAGAGTCCTCAAATGTATGCTGTAATATTCTGGATTAACTCAACCTTTGTTATCCTGTACACTGCAGAATGTGTCTTGAAGCTCATCTCCTTCCATTGTTACTATTTCACCAGTATATGGAACATTTTGGATTTTATGGTGGTTGTTTTCTCCATTACAGGTAAGATTTTGTTCAATCCAATTTTCATTTATACTAATACTAATTTATGCAAAATTATTAATATCACTTCAGATATAGTCTTTTAGAAGCAAATCAGGTGGAGACATTTTTAATTCTAATCAGGAATGCTTTATATTTTTTACATTTATACCTGTAGACACAGTTAGGAAATGTTAAAAGATGCATTTCTTGCACTAATGTCACCTACTTCATGTCACAGACTGAAAGATAAAAGCTTAATTATGATTCAGTAATGTAATATAAATTCACATAATGTAAATTCATTCTAGTATAACAGTAGAAGACTCTTTATGTCTTAGAATGATGTAACATTTCAAACTTGCTGTCACTTCCCTCTTAATTGTGGGAAGCTATAAAAAACATTAGAGTTTTAGACTTTAATGAATTTTTCCCAATTTTCACTTACTTGGGAGATCTCTTTTTTTAACAAATGCATTCAATTATCTTCTTTTTTAATAGATATTGTGCTGTGTGGAAGAATATAATAGTTAGTTGCATGTAGTGGTATTTACCAATAATCCTATAACTCTGGGAGGCTGAGGCAGGAGGAAGACAAGTTCAAACCAAGCCTGTGCAACTTAGAGATACCCTATTTCAGAATAAGAATTTAGAGAGGAAAGGATGTATTTCAGTGCCAAGGCTCTGGATTCAATCTGAAGTATGCCCCTCACCAAAATTTTTTTTAAAAAATCAGTAAACAAGATAGAGATAATTCCTGTATACATATAATTTAAGTCTATTAAAGGAAAGAAATAAATAGTATATTTTAATGCTGTGCTGTTAAATTTAGGCTAAAGGAGGCAAAGGCTACTACGGCAGCCTGAGAGAGGAGCATCTGCTCTCCAAGGAGAGGTCAGAGAAAATTTTGTGTAAGAAACAAAATTTAAACAAAGGCCCATTGAATAAAGATGTAGTCAAAGAATTTAAGATCAAAGTGTTTCTGGCAGAAAGGAGTTTCTTTATTGTCTGATTCCCCATAACACACATCTAGATGCAAGCTTTGTAGTCATAGTGATAATATTTAATAGATTATTGTCATGCGCTATCGTATGATTGAACACTGGGAAATGTACATCAAATGCCTAGTTGAGCTTCCAGAAAATTCACACATTTGATGGACAAATGAAGTAATGCAACTAACTGAAAAGTTTATAAGCCTGATAGGGAAAAACATAGCAACAGGAGTTAACTGAGAGGAAGAAAACAGGAATATCAGATGAGCCATATGAAATAGAAGTCATAGTTCCTTCTGCAGAGAACTATGCAGACAGAGGTGTTTTGAATTTGAGATTTTCTAGATCAGGTACCTTGTGTCAATAACATGATCATAGTGTGGACGGCTGATGTGAAACAATGAAGGTTATGAAGGTTGAGAGGGTCAGAAACAGAGAGGTTTGACTTGGGATGGGTTATTTATGGTAGATGCTGAGGTGAAACAGGAGACCACAAGTGAGTTATTAAAGTCTTCAGTGAATATTAGTGAAGTGGCATGAACAGATCATAGAGCTGCGGAAATGGAATCATTGAATGACATAATTCATAAAGTGCCAGAAACTTTTTCGTTTTTGTTAATTGAAGTGATAAAAATAAAAAGTCTCTGGAAATCTCATTGGGGAAAAAAGGAACATCATCTTTCTTCCTTGAGAAACATGGACATGGAGAGAGCAAGGTACCAGTGCTTGGAATGTTACATGAGGAATGATATCATTAGCCCAGAGTGGGCTTCAGATAAGAAAGGGAGTTTAAACACCAAGTGGTGAGGATGCCGAGAAAGTTGTTTGCAGCTATGTGAGGTTATGTCCGGAAAAATTGAGGCGTTTTGAAGATTGCGACGAATATTGAGATTGAAGATTGAGAATGGAAAATTCACTGGAACCCTCCAGAGAGAAGGTGAATGCAGTAAAGAAGACCACTGACAATGTCATCTTAGAAAATGATCAAGTTTGACAGAAATATGCAGCATGACACTTCCTGTCAGGAAAAATGCCATCTCCTTAGAAGCTCTTTGAGATTATTCTGTCCTCCACCTTCTCAACCCAAAATGAACCATTCCTAAATTCTAAGGAAAAACTCACTTATTGACTTCGTATTTAAAGCTCCTGGGGAAAAAATTCCACTTGGGAAACAAATGAATTAAAATACAACTATGAATCACTGAATACCAAACATTTTTGTAATTACAAAAAATTTTGGATTTTCTACAGTACATTATATTTAACAATTTTTACTAGTTACTAGATTATAAAGTCTGTGAGACTACAAAATCATGTTATTGGTCTTTTCATATTGCATGATGCTTTTATAAGGCATTCAATATAAGTTGAGTTAAATCCTTTAATCCAACGACAATCAGAAAAACAGAAACAAACCAAAAGCCTTGTGACTACTATCCCACATTGTAGACTCAGGTCATCTGTATTTCCAAAAGTATTTGATCTATAACATTACCAAGATTACAGTACAAAAGAAATCCTTTCTAAATTTTGCTAGACACCCTGATCATTGATATGATTAGTATTCAGCTAACTTAAAATCCTATAAACTGTCAAATAGGGGAAATTGACAAAAATAAAATATAGAAACAACCACTTAAATACAAAATCACATGTTCCTCTAAAAACCATTCATGTGGATAATTTTATCAACTCTGTTCTCTTTCCTCAGGACTATTTCTGCCTTTGACAGTGGGATACTACTTGGTGCCACCTTCCCTTGTGCAGCTGGTACTTCTCTCTCGCATCATCCACATCCTGCGTCGTGGGAAAGGACCAAAGGTGTTCCATGATCTGATGCTTCCTCTGTTGCTGTCTCTCCCAGCCCTGATGAACATCAGTCTTCTCATCTTCCTGGTCATGTTCATCTACGCCATTTTTGGAATGTACAACTTTGCCTATGTTAAAAAAGAAGCTGGGATTAATGACGTGTCCAACTTTGAGACCTTTTGCAGTAGTATGATTTGCCTTTTCCAAGTTACAATATTTGCAGGTTGGGATGGGTTGCTTAATGCAGTTTTCAACAGTAAATGGTCTGACTGTGATCCTGATAAAATTAACCCTGGGACTCAGGTTAGAGGAGATTGTGGTAACCCTTCTGTGGGGATTTTCTATTTTGTCAGCTACATTTTCATAATATGGCTGATTATTGTTAATATGTACATTGCTGTAATCATGGAATTTTTAAGTATTGTTTCTAAGAAAAAAACTAGGAGCTTGAGTGAATACGATTTTAGGAAATTCTTTCAGGTGTGGGAGAGGTTTGATCCTGACAGGACCCAGTACATAGACTCCTGCAAACTTTCTGATTTTGCAGCTGCTCTTGATCCTCCTCTTTTCATGGCAAAACCTAATAAGGGACAGCTTGTAGCAATGGACCTTCCCATGGCTGTTGGAGATAGGATTCATTGCCTTGATGTCTTACTTGCTTTTACAAAAAGAGTTGTGGGAAAAGATGCAGGGACAGAGAAAACCCTTTCAGAGATAGAATCAGCATTTGCATTAGCCAACCCTATTAAAATCACGTATGAACCAATCACAACTACTTTGAAGCGAAAACAAGAGACAGTTTCGGCGACCATCATTCAACGTGCTTATAAAAATTACCGCTCAAGGCAAAATGACAAAAATACAGCAGATATTTCTATACTGGACAGTGGCCAGGAGCTCCAGGATACTAAAAAAGGTGTCTGTCTTGGCAAAGTTAAGGAAAAGTCAGCTATTCAAAGTCAAATCTAATCCCACTTATCACCTTTTTATTTTCTTCATGGACCCCAGAGTTTTAAAAACTTAAGTTACCAAACAATGGTATGATCAGTTGCTTACAACCAATGAAAATTAAGACTGTATTCAAATGTCTCCATGCCATACTCACTGTTTTAACCTTATGTGCTCTACCTGCCCAATCTATTAGCGAAGACAATGCATCGATTTTGCTGCAGTTAGTTACAGTAGGTTGAATTTCCCATTTGACAATCTAATACTGGTTATACTATCTAGCTTATTTGATACAAGCCTATTCTGAAAGATAAAAGGGTAGTAAAGATTATCAGTAACATAGGCTTCTTCATACATTTTATGTCAAATGTAGTCATTTCCAAGTCAGCACTATAAAGCTCAAGTTGCAAATGAGTATTTTCTTAATGTGAGATGGAGTTTGAGGAACAGTGAAAGGCTATTATTGGTCACTGAATCAGGAACTTGTCTAAAGAAGTGTCAGCTGGTGCTCACTTTGGCAGCACATATACAAAAAATTGGAATGATACAGAGATTAGCATGGCCCTGTGCAAGGATGACATGCAAATTCATCAAGCATTCCATATTATATACATACATACATACATACATATCAGCTAGGGGGAGAGAGCGCAGCTTTTTAGAAAGTGCCTTTGAGATTAATCACAGAAACTTTTAGGCTCCCTAACACCTGTTTGAAAAAGATTGAAGCCCTGCTTTTTTAAAATTCCTGTCCTGTTTTTCTTTCTTTCTGTTGGTCTGTGTCTTTTTCTCTGCCTCCCCTTCCTTCTCTCCTTCCTTTCTTTTCTTTGTTTCTTTCCTCCCTTCTCCTGGTGTCTCTCCTTTCCTCATCCTCTCTCATCTCTCTCTTTGACTCTTCTTTCCTCTCTTCCCCTTTTTCTTCCTGCTCCTGCTCCTCTTTCTTCTATTTCGTTTTCCTGGTGGGAGAAATTAGTGTTTGACTGTCCAATGGGCTCCTAGGTTCTCATCAGTTTGGCTATTTGCTCCAAATCTACAACATGATGGATTTAAATTTATACAATAAGAAGCATAAATGCTTACAGTGATAGCCTACACTTTCCTAATTTCTTCTCATTTACAGTCTTTAAAAATGCACACTTTACTAAAGTTACATAATAGATGATATATTAGTAGACTTAACTTTTCCCTTATTATAAAGCTGATGTATTTTTACCATTTATTTATAACATTGACTATATAAACTCTGAAAAGTGCATGTTATCATGAATTAGCAGAATTGACAGCTACCAGTATGTCTAAGGATTTTGCCAGTATCTTGATCTTTCATAGGACGCTGTACTTTATGCATCTTATAACTCATAGACTATAAAGGTTAGAAAATAAATGTGTAACTTCTTGTTTTAGAACATCAGCATATGCTAACTAGCTTTTACGTATTCATTTATCTTTCTTGACTTTTTGATTATATCTCATCACATATAAGTACTATGTAAAATGTTTTATATTTGACAAACTTTAAAACCCTAAACCCTTAGTTTTCACCATTCAAATTATTTTTTTAAGTTACACACAAAGAGTTGGGGTTTTTTTGATTTATTGACAAAAGTATTATCTCTTATACCCATGTAATTTGAGAATCTAATGTTTACTCTATTTGTATGAAAACTGATTTCAATGTGCCTACAAAGTCCTGAGGAATAAAAAATTAAACATATACTGTTTACTTAAATGATAAACTTTAAATATATTGTGTGACACTCAATATTGCTTACATATCAGTAATTGTATTTTATTATGAATGCATGATCTTGAGCCTTAAGTATTACAATCTATTTTTGAACCTCAGAAATACAATAATCTTACCAAGATGCCTTGGGGATTCCCCTAAATAAATATAATTTCAGAGTTCTGTTTTCTCCCTATAAATGTTTCTCTCTTTATCTTCTTGCCTCTTTCATGCAATGAAGACAGAAAAATTCAGCATTAACTTAGTGATGTGATGGCAGCTGGTGCTTTACCTGAACTTCCCAGTTTTGTATTTCTTGTGAGTGATTTAGTGTGGAAATTGCTTCAGATGTTTGAACTAAATCATAACATGCTCCTATAAATTCTGTGAAGACCAAAAAATGATTTTAGTTTGAAAACTAGTCTTACTTGTAAAAGGTATCTGCCAAGTACATTTCCAAAAACTGTATAAAATTTATTTTTAACAAAATAATAAAATATATTCTACTTTTAGATACTATGGAAAATAATAAATACAGTATGTTAACCGCACTACGCTGTGTTTGTTTTTGTTTTATAATTTGGTAATTTAGGTTGGCACTTTTGTGTAGCAGAATTTTTTTAAAAAATCCTCTTGCACAAAATTTATGAATTCAGACTCAAAATTAAGATTTGAAACACTCAGACTTCCTTTAAGTCACTTAACTGTGTGAAGTAAATGTTAGTAAGCTCATTAGGAGTCCCTATATATTGGCAAAAATGTAAAAACCACTTATTAAAATTATAATTGCAGTTTTAGTACATATCACTCACTATTATTAAAAAGTTTCTTAAGATAATGCTGAATTCAATTTATTAGTACACTACTATTTATCAATTTCTATTGAAGTATTATTTCTGAGTTATTAATGTAATAAACTTGAGATGGTTTTAAAGATAATATTTTTAAAGATAATCTTAACAATTACCATTGACTGAGGTAACTTACACCCTGCCTTGTATTACATGTCATGCATGAACCAATAATACATTTCAATTTATAGACCATTAAACAATAAGCTTAAAAAGGTTATGAAAGTTCTCACATGGCACACAACTTGGTGACAAGGCCAGGACACCAACCACATCTAGGTCCAGAGCCTTAATGCCTCTCTGTCTCCCTCTATCTCTCTCTCCTTTTTCTCTCTGTTTCTCTGTCTCGCTCTTTCTCTCTCTCCCTCCCTCCCTCTCTCTCCCTGCCTCCACCTTCCCTACTCTTACCCTTGCCTTGTGTGGAATTTAGAAATAGTCACCATTACTGAAGAGAGACAGAGAGAGAGAGCGAGCGAGAGAGAGAGAGAGGAGAGACAGAGACAGAGAGAGAGAGAACAAAAAGGATACAACAATAGAAGTTTTCAACTTCCATTAAATGTTAATTCAGAAAAATTCACAGTCATCTACATATAAAAATAAATCTGAGATTAAGAAGGGGAAGGTGGAACTATGCAGCTTATTATAATCTATAATCGTTTTTATACTACTGGATACATTTTCATACACATAAAGGAAAGAACGGGGAGTTCTACATTGGAAACTGTAGATGAATTTAGTAAAGTGAGCCCCTGAATAAAAAGGTATGTTTTAATATTTAGAGATGAGGATACCTATTCATTCCAGTGGCATGTGGATTTTTATACTAATTTATGACTGACTCATCACATAATATAAAAATTGAAATGATTTTGGTAAGGCTCACTTGAATCTGAGGGTCATTTGAAGATTATTGCTATGCTGACAATAATGTGTCTTCTGAATCCTAATATAGGGTGAATTTTTCTTCATCTAGAAAAATCAATTTTACTGCCCTTTTATAAAATGCTTGTTTTTTTGGTTTTCTCTAGATTTTCCTTTTTTCACTTCTAGTGCTTTCTACTATATTTTCCTTTTTCTGCTTGCTTTACTTTTATTTTTTCTCTTGATTTGCTAGTTTTTTTGAGATAGAAATGTAAATTGTTTAAGATATTTTCTCATGTCTATTATTTTAGGACTATGAATTTTCTTATTGATCATATTTTAGTTGCATTCTACATATTTTGGTGTATATGTGCTTTCATTTATTTCTGTGTATTTTTAAAACTTTCTTTAAAGCTTCATCTTTGACTCATAAATTATTTACAAGTGTGTTGTTTAATTTTTATACATTTAGAACTTTTTTGTTTATGTAATTAATTTACAGCTCAGTTCCATTAGGGCCAAGCAATGAATTATGTAAAATTTCTAATCTTTAAGGTTAATTGAGATTTGTTTCATGGCTGTTCCAGTCATGAATTGATCTCTCTTAATAACTGCTTTACACTTGAAGAAAAGCATATTCTGCCATTGTGGAGGGCTGTATTCTATATTCATCATTGTGTTTCTATTCATTCTATTGTGTTTCTCAGTTCATCTATATAATTTTCTTATTTTCTGTCTAGTGCTTCTATCACTTGCCTAAAAGTAAACATTAAAATTTCAGTAAGAGTTGTGGATTTGTTCTTTCCTCCTTTTGCACCATCAAAGTTGCTTAATGTTGAAGCTCTGTTACTGCCCACATAGAAATTGAGAAGTTCTATGTCATTGTGAAAGATTGCATTTTTATAATTACATAATGTCCCTCTTAAAATATATTGGGACCTAGATAGTACCCACATTTTTGTTTCAATTATCAAGTACAGTTTATAAAACCCATTTTACATACCCAAGTTTCTTCTCTTTGAATTATCCTTCCTGTCTTCCTGATATTCTATAATTTCTTCTTTCATCAATGTTTTCTTTGAAGAATTTTATCTAGCTACTCTTTAAGAATTTTGTCAGCTAGCAATAAAATATTTTAGTTCTCTTCCAATGAACATTTAAATTTCCTTGTCATCATCAAAGAATAAATTCACAGACCATAAAATTTATGGTCAACAGTTCTTGATTTGAGCCCTTGAAAACATTTTGACCTTTCCACTTACTTACATAACTTCACAATAGAAATTCATGCTCACTCAAATTAGAACTCTCCAGTATATAACATGCCATTTCTCTTCATCTGCATTCAAAACTTTTCTGTATGTTTAATTTTAAATTTTTAAATATAATACTCTTAGAAATGAAAATTCAGTGGCCCAAATACAGAAAAGGAAACTACGGAGTAGGCACAGATTTGTGTATACTAGTAAGCCCTCCATGTGTTTCCAATGCACACTAGTTGTTAAGAAACCATTGTCTAGATCTGTACTTATAAACACGTAGCATAAATTGAAGATTGGGTCCAGAGGCCTTAATGGCCTCATGATATTGTGTCAACTAAGTGCAAGATGCTCATTAGTTGAAGTTCACCACTACCCTCTGAGTCATCTGACATGATCATCATCAATATGAGATCTTTCTCAACATGAAACCACCTCTGCCCTGTCCTCTGAGTCCTTTGATAATCCCCTCACTGCTTTTCTCAATAAACATGATCTATAAATACCTCAGTTCTCTCTGTTTTGTAGCCTTTCGTTTCTCATGAGTGACTGGTTATCCACTGCAAATCCACTGTAATTTTGTTTCTTGCTCTTTTTTTCACCATGCCCCGGAACTCCTGGTAGAAGACTGGAATCCACTGCAAGGGTGTCTGATAATTGGCACCCAAGGTGGCCTGAACCCACGATGCTCTTGTCTGCCTGCAGGATTTACTAGGGGTGTTTTCTGCAGCGCTCAGGTCACCAGTGGCAATCCCTGAGACATCTGACACAGTGAAGTTTAGTGCTTTTCACTCAAATAAGAATCTCACTGAGATTAAAACAATGGAAAATATTTTTCTTTCAAATCTCTTTAACTCTCTCTTTGAAATCTTTCTTTCAAATCTCCTTTTTTGAAATCTTTTTTAAAAGAAAGCAAAGTGCATAGTGCCAGCCATCAGTATCATGAAATACTACAGGATATAATTAAATACGATCCCTAGTCCACACAGGGAGAAGCTTTGGATATTGAAAATTAGGACAAGATGGGAAAAATTTAAAGGGAGCTCACAGTATACGAAAAATTGTTTCTCCTGGGACCTTCTCAGCTTGGACCTTGGTAAAAATCTGTTTTATGTCCATTAAGTACTAGAACCCCTAGAAGTTTCTGTTTTAGTACAGAACATGGGAGAAAAATATAAAGAAATAGAAAAGCCACCCACGCTGCTGCTAGCTCCTGGGAGAAAACCAGAGCCAGGTGAGACTTAAATGAAGCACTGGGCCTGTACATGCATACTTTTTAAAAATGAAACATTCTGAACCTTGTGTCTAAGAACCAACAGTACTACAAGAAGTTCTTGGAACTTGTTTCTCAATGGTGTTTAGAAACAATCTTAATAATCAAAATCAGCTCATCCCTACACATCAGGTTTTTGATTTTTAACTGCTTAAAGAATTAACACAGAGTGTAATAAATAATGGAGCTCAGGGACTATTCACCACAGATTCAGTTGTGGGTAAACATCATCAAACCCCACGTACCGTACTCATGCTTCCTTACCCCCTAATCAGTGTCTTTAGTTCAACATGCAGTTACAGGACTTGATAGGAGATCGGGTTGATAGAAATAGAGAGATAGCGCCAACATAACAGAGGAAGTCCTTTTGCTTAGGGGGAGCTTTGTAGATATAATGCAATAAAAGCAGTATACTAAGAAGACTCTTAGAGAGACTCTTTCTTGGCCTTCATCTCCAGAAAATTTAGAGGCTCACACAGCCCACCCAAGATGGCAATGCAGTCATCTCTAGGGGTGGCTGCAACAGAGAAGATGATGGTGGCACAGGACCAGTGCCAGAGTGAATAGGGTGCCCACGGCATGCCAGCAACAGAGCCAGGTAACAGCACAGCAGTTTCCCCTTCCCTCCTTTCCTTGGTTGGGCTGCCTGCAGTGACTTCCCCCAGTTATGGGGGAAGCTGAGGTAAAAGAACACTGAAGTACAGGGATTCTTTACACTGGGACTCAAAGCCAATGTTAACTCAAACTATGTTAAATTCAATGTAAAGCTACTGAGTCGTATGGGTTAATCTATGACCCTTAAATCACGAGAAGTTGAAAGTGTTAAAATCATTGGTGCTAAAGTGCATAAACAGACATTTGGAACCTTCTTTCAAGGAACAAGAAGGCAATAGTTTACTACTAAGCAATACTTCCTCCTTTAAATATGACTGTTAGTGCAAAGGGAAATATTGCTTATATTGCTATTTTACAATTAGAACTGTGATGTAAAAAAGAAGAAAAATGGAGAAATTTTATCTTACATTCAGACTTTCATTGCACTAAAGAAATAATGCTTACTTGTGTTCAAATGTACAGAAAACTAGATACCTTTGGCCCTTAAGGCATCCACTATCACTGACTGTAAACCCACTCTATGACCATTGGTGCCTGAGAGTGAGGTTTCCAAGACAACCCTAATTAAGCCCTCTCCCACTATTACTGCGTCTTAGGCTTCCCCTACTTGTCCTTGGAGTCCTGAGTCTTGAGGGCTAAGGCTCTAGGCCAACCATATGTGAAGTTTCCATGGAATTGCATCCATCTATGGC